TTGTTTTTGTTAGATAAGAATGCAATAATTTCTTTATTTTGATAGAAATTATGAACCGTAATTTGATTTTGGTTCTTTTTGTACATCAGGATGGGTTGTTTTTCATAAAATATTCTGAATTTCAGGGAAAAGATACTAAATTTTTGTTCGTGTTGCTTGAAAATGTAAATATGTCTTCTTTTGTATCAGAAATAATTCAAAGCCAATTGCAATCAGTCATAATTAATGCATTCAGATAAGTTCTTTTGTATAAGTTATGAATAATTTACTGATAAATATACATAAACTTTTGTTTTTGTTTGATAAAAATTCAAAATTCCTCTATTTCAATTAAAATTATTGAGTGCCTATGGCTTTTTGTACTTTTTATGGTTTAGGATTGGTTGTTTTTTATAAAACAAAATAATATCTGAGAAAATATACTAAAATGTTGTTCACATTGATTAAAATTACCAATTTTTCTTCTTTTGATAAAAAATAATGCAATGTTATTTGTAACTTGTAATTTCAAAGTCTTCCAATAAGATTTTTTTTGTAAGAATTTTGGTAATGTAAGGAGAATAATACTTAAACTTTTGTTTTGTGTTTAATACGAATGCAATAATTTCTTTATATTAATAGATATTATGAACCGTCATTTGATTTCGGTACATTTTGTACATCAGGATTGGTTGTTTTTCATAAAATATGCTGAATTTCAGGGAAAAGATACTAAATTTTTTGTTCGCATTGCTTAAATATGCAGATATTTCTTCTTTTATATCAGAAATAATGCAACTTCAATTGCAATCAGTCATTATAAATGCCTTTAGATAAGTAATTTTGTATAAAATGTGAATCATTGAAGGATAAATATGCATAAACTTTTGTTTTTGTTAGATAAGAATGCAATAATTTCTTTATTTTGATAGAAATTATGAACCGTCATTTGATTTTGGTTCATTTTGTACATCAGGATTATTTTTTTTTCATAAAATATGCTGAATTTCAGGGAAAAGATACTAAATTTGTGTTTGCGTTTCTTAAAAATGCAAATATTTCTTCTTTTATATCAGAAATAATTCAACGTCAATTGCAATCAGTCATAAGTAATGCATTCAGATAAGCACTTTTATATAAGATATGAATAATTTAAGGATAAATATACATAAACTTTTGTTTTTTTTATATAAGAATTCAATAATTTCTCTTTTTTAATGGAAATTATTGAAAGCCTATGGTTTTTTGTACTGATTATGGTTCAGGATTTGTTATATTTCATCAAATATGTTGAATTTAAGGGAAAAGATTATAAATATAATGTTCGCATTGCTTAAAAATACAAATATTTCTTCTTTTATATTAGAAATAATGCAACGTCAATTGCTATCAGTCGTTATAAATGCCTTTATATAAGTATTTTTTTAATAAAATGTGAATAAATGAAGGATAAATATGCATAAACTTTTGTTTTTGTTGAACAAGAATGCAATAATTTCTTTATTTGAATGGAAATTATGGACTGTCATTAGATGTTTGTACTTTTCATAGTTTAGTATTGGTTGTTTTTTCATAAAAGTAAAAGAAGATCATAGAAAATATCCTTAAATGTTGTTCGCATTGTTTAAAATTACCAGTTTCTCTTGTTTTGTTAAAAAATAATGCAATGTTATTTGTAACTAGTTATTTCAAAGGCTTCAAGATTATTTTCTTTATAAGAATTTTAATATTGTAAGTAGAATAAGGCTTAAACTTTTGTTGGTGTTGAAAATGATTGCAAATAATATTCATTTTGATAGAAATAATGAATCACCATTTGATTTCAGTACCTTTTGTACATCAGGATTGGTTACATTTCATAAAATATGTTGAATTTAAGGGATCAGATACTAAATTTAATATTCGCATTGCATAAAAATATAAATATTTCTTCTTTTATATCAGAAATAGTGCAATGCAATTGCTATCAGTCATTATAAATGCCTTTCGATAAGTAATTTTTAATAAAATGTGAATAAAGAAGGATAGATATGCATAAACTTTTGTTTTTGTTGAAATAGAATGCAATAATTCCTTTATTTGAATGGAAATTATTGACCGTCATTGGATTTTTGTACTTTTTATAGCTTAGGATTGATTATTTTTTATTAAGTTAAAAGACTATCAGAAAAAATATACTATAATGTTGTTCTCGTTGTTTAAAATTACCAATATTTTCTATTTTTAAGAGAATTTGCAGCATTTTTATTTTTATTTGTGATTTGTTATTTTAATGGCCTCGAGATAAGTTTGTTTAAAGAATTTTAAGATTATAAGGATAAAATACTTAAAAATATTTAAAAATAATACTTCGAAATTTGCAATAAATGATCATTTCATTTTATTTTCAAGCATTTTCGGGAAATATAAAAATCACTGAAAATCGCAATCAACACCGTTTTAGAAATGTCCGGGTTTGAAAAAATATAACCTAAATTCAAACGAAAATGGCCATTCTTTAATAGTAATATTTAAATTTAGTTTTATATGCATATTTCTTTTCTTTTTAAATTCTTAAAACTGTGCTAAATAATTAATAAAAAAAAGATGTTGATCATTTGTACTTGAATGTTTCGTCTTTCCATGTCGCCATTTTAATTAAATGAAACGAAACTAAGATTTCGTAATTTGTATTAGTTTATCATGTGACGTAGTAGAGTTCAATCCGTCAGAAAGGTCGATCGGTCCTATCCGTCCGATCCGTCCGATCAGTCAAATACTTTTACTATAAGTCTGACGGATTGGTGACGTGAGTTTGACGCGAACTTGACTGATCGGTGACTGATCGATGACCGCTGATTGATCGCTAAAACAGTAACGCCTAAGATTGCAAGTACTGTATCAATTAAAGTACAAATGATGTGAATGTAATCAATTATATGCAACCATACGGCCTTCAACCATGAGAAAAACCCATACCGTATAGTCGGCTATAAGAGGCCCCGACATGAAAAATTTCAAACAATTCAAATTAGAAAACTAACGGCCTAATTAAGAACGAAACAGTTTACGAAAAACAAATATGACAGATATGAACCACAGATAACTTTTTCCAAGTATAGTAGTAAAACCCTTGCCTTGCTGATCAGTTTTCTAAAATTTGAGACTAATGGAAACATTTTTTTCTGTAAAACTAATATCATTTGAACTTTAAAGTTTATAATGCGCAAGTGGATTGATAGCTACTAGTTCCACTATATGAAAAATACAAAAAAGCTAGACTAAACAAACCCCAAAAACAATAAAGATTCGTTACTTGAACTACAAACAGATGGCAATAATATTTTCAGCTTATGTAAATGTTTGAAAGTTAGAAATCTTTGAAATCAACATTTGATTATCTTGTCCATTACATGTAGCATTTTATTTTTCTGAGCACGATTGAAATGTGTGCCAAAAAAAGCTGTGTGAGTAATGACGGTTTATCCTAGTGCAAGAGCAATAGTTTTGACATTATTTATACATAATACAAACAGGGTATGAATGAGTTGTTGTGATCATGGTACATGAATAATAGACATAGATCTTAATCGACTGGTCCCAGATTACAAGAATGTGAAATTGTTTTCTTTGTAAACCGAAACTGCTCGTTTCCAACTTATGACCTGAACCCTGCTAGCTCCACTGGGTCTTATTTGCTCATATACTGGACGAGCTCTCTTGCCTTATAAAAATTGGTTGTTAGATAAATATCAAATATAAAAATGCATCAGTGTACTTGCTGATATCATTGATATTTACCGGTGATGAATTTTTGTATAGCTGCGAGATACCATTTTTTATATATACATGTATATACTTCGCACAAATAGGACAGAATTAATTTCTGAAATTAGTGAAATAGTTCTTCCTTTTATAAAGATGACAGATGAAAATAAAATCAAATTTAGGTATACTTGTAGTGAGAATGATACCATTGAAGTAATTGTAAAAATTCCTTCGTGATATGTACACATACTAAATTGCTTTGAATATAAAATGACTTGCTGGACTATACCTTCTTAGTGTGATTATAAAATAAATCAATGTTGAAATGTTTTTCAGTTTATCTTAATCTGTATGAGATATATAGATAATGAACCAATAAATCAATCTTAATCTTATTCGTGGTACGGTCTTTCATAGTAAAAGCAATCCGGATCAATATAATATTCATCATTTAAAATCGTTTTCCTTATTATGCTCGAAATTTTACTACTCAAATCATTGTTAAAGCTAAAAATGTCATGTACTGAATTAGCTACATTAAAATTAAAGAATAAAAAATATACCTGTTTCTTTAATGTATTTAGATAACTTCCCAGCAGGCACTCAACGTTGAATAAACGTTGAAATGAGGTTGAAATGGTGATCAACGTGTATTCAACGTTGAAACAACGTTACATTTTCAACGTTGAGCAATAAACAAATATTCAACGTTGAATTAACGTTGATCATTTCAACGTTGAAATTGGAACTTTGATTCAACATTGAATAAACGTTAACTTTTAATAAGTACTCACGGTATGCCTATATGAGGCCTATATAAGAAAAAACAATAATTAACTGATGTTTTATACCTTTTGCAAAGAACTGATTACACTAAACACAGTGACTGCATTTCATTTTTACATTGAAAAGGTCGTATAGTACCAACTATTAATCTCAAGTTGTGTGTAAGGGGGGGGGGGGGGGGGGGGGTGTTGGGGGGGAGGTAAATCGTTTGATACTGAATTTCTAGGGAAAAGAAATAGAATGCATAAAATTGAGAATGGAAATGGGGAATGTGTCAAAGAGACAACAACCCGACCATAGAACAGACAACATAGTTTATTTCACATAATATTAATGAAATGTTGAACATAAAGATAACATGTAAAGAAATGTGAAATAGTTGATTATTAACAAAACTCGCGATTGTTTTTATTCATATTTTCGCGGGATTTGAACAGGAAGATAAATTGCCCATGCGCATTATTTAAACACGCACATTTCCTGTTTTTTTTAAAATATAGAACAACCAAGAACGAAGTCGAGGAGAAACTTTTGGTTAATCAAGTATCATTATGGTATGTAGATGTTTCTAAGTGGCTATCACGGCATTTCATATGTATGAATTGTATTTAGAAACTGTGAATTGTTATAAATATTGCACAATTAGAGAAAAATATAACGTCAACATTGTATCCCAGAGAACAGATCAGAACACATGGAAGGGCCATAGTAAACAATCATGTATTCCACCAATTATACTATTTTTGAGAGCATTTAATGTGGAAAGCAGATTTGTTTTCATCTTAAAGTTGAGGTAAAAACTGAGACATTAATATTCTTTAAGATTCAAATAAGAAAAAGGGGGGGGGGGGGGTCGTAAGCGTTTTATTTCACCTATCAGAGGATAACTATAGAATGTTCATTGATAAATTTTAACCTAATTAACCTTTCAACAAAAGTCATTCTATTTTTAAAACAAGTCAGTCTGACCCTTATCTGATCTTCATGTGATCTCTGACTCTGTGTAATACGAGAAATGAGGTTAGCATTGCATCTCCATGTGCGCACGTTCAATTATGACTACTTAAAAATCAACATGACCAGTCTGTGACAAACTGTTTAAGGGTTTATCTGACCGAAATAGAAATTTGATTTTTTCTTCTATACATTCACCCAAAAATTCCTAAAAATTCTGTCCGACCGAAAGTTTTTTTGTCTGACATTTTGTCGGTCAGACAGAGTTTGGGATACACTGCATGACCATACAACTTAATAGAAATATTAAAAACAAAAAGACGACACAAGTTAACTTAAAGAAAACAATAACAACGAAAGGACATTATTACATACATTAGAAACTAAGAAAAATAATAACATTATCACATGCTAGGCAAACACAAATTCAACAATATGTGTTTATTCGACAAAGACAATTATTTATGTGAAGGGTAGACTTATACACATACATGTATAACACAATGAAAAAAATAAGCTGAATTTAGTATTAACGACATAGCCTAGATTGTGTTTAGCATGATGTGTATTTAACCTTGCGCTGAATGTTAGCAGTCCATTATCGTGAACATGTATTATTTATTTTACAGAAGCTTGTCAAACAAATCAATGGCTGAAATTAATGTATCAATATGGAGCAAAATAAAAATTCAGTTTTGGAAATTCAAGTCTATAAAATCATCAAAGGTAGGTTTTTTGTTTGTATATATCATTTGTTTTCAAAGTTTAGTCTGTTGTTTATTTTATTTTTGTTTATTTTACATACCATATCATGTTTGTCTAATCTAAAGTATTCTAGGCAAGAAAGCTCTTTATTTCGTGTTAATGTACTTGTGCAGTCATCAATAAAAAAACGTCATAGGTAAAGTGTTTTCATGGTTATCAATTACATAGTCAAACCTCCAATCTTACAAATTTCGTGTAGAAGCGTCTTCATTAACAAAAACTACTAATAGTAAACATTAATGTATATATATTTTTTTATTAATGATTACCTTATTACTATATGTGCTTTGTCGTTATGGTTTTATTTTTCATTGCTTCTAGAAATAAATTGAAAGTGGCTCAAGTTTAGGATATCTTTTCAGGACACATAATTTATATTTATTATCATGTTATCTTTTCCAGAGTTTAGATATACTGCAAAAGTATGAAGATGTCACTGAGAAACACATATCTGATAAAGACTCCTCCTACTTGAACTTGAGGTCAGCCGCAGAAATATCTCGGAGTGGTGGAAGAAAGTTGACATGCAAAAAAGGACAAAAAGAGACAAAGATTACAAATGAATTTATAAAATAAATCTTGTATCAAAAGAAATATCATTGTATTACTAAATTTGATATTGTTCCTCAGTAAATTTGTATTCATTTAATGGTTTATTCCAATTATAGGTGTGAGGGTAATCAAGGACATTTGTTTTTTGTGGAGAGTTGTCTGGTTAGCAGTCATGCAGCATCTTCTTATTTTCATAAGTATTGTGATCATCCTGATAATGTCTTCACTCTTCTTGGGATATACTACTTTTAAGAAGGGCTTAACATTTGTCAGTCGTATAATTATGACTACTTTGAACTTGTGAGAATTGTTTGGACCTATTCAACATCTTCTTTCTGTTTGGTGATGCTTTCTGTTGTGGGAATAAAGTGTATGTCATAATTTTTATGCAAACTATGCAATCAAATTCATTGAATGATTTGTATTTTTATAGCTATCCACAACAAGAAAAACTACAAGTAAGAATATATCAAAAAATGGTAGGTGTCCACTTGTATATCAATATACATTTAGATAATTATGTATAGTTAATGTATCTTTAAATACAAATGGACACACACAACCATTTCAGCTATTCCTTATTGTAGTTTTTCTTGTTCTTAATAGCTAAATACACGTTTCAATAAATTTAAGTTTGAATATGAGAGACACAGAAGCCAACGGGATCTGAAGATATGACATTTATTGACTTTGTACAAGCACGGAATGTTGTATCAGTAGCAGTTGATGTATTTATTTAGATGTCTCCCATTTAGGTTATCTATTTGGTTCATATGTGTCTTGGGGAGAGAAAAAAAAACATTAAAAAAACCCTGTAAAGTCTATACTATGTAACAACAGCAGGTAAAAATATATATGTAGCTTTATAATAAATTATATTAATATACTTTCAACTACTATTCAACCTTGAATCAACGTTGTTGAAATTTCAACGTTAATTCAAATTTTCAAAATCAAACATAATTTGACAGTGTTTCAACGTTGAGAAACAACCTTGTTTCAACGTTGAATAAACGTTGAGTGCCTGCTGGGTTAAAGGCATACTGTCGCTTCTCCGACTGACATACATATAGATGGTCCTGCTGATGAATGTAATAATCCTGCATATGTATTGTTGAATAACAAATTTTCAGTTTCTGTTTCAGATGCGTAGCTATTTTGACATTTCGGGTGGCTAAAGCAGTTTTCTCTACCCCATTTGTAACACCTCTTTCAACGCCTTTTCTACTCAGGCATCGTAAACCTTCCAATAAATGAACAAATATAATTAAATTATATACATTTTATACTTTCAAAAATATATTAAAATATGTGCAATGCAATTTGGATAACCGGACAAATCCAATCGGTTATAAAGAAATTACTACGAAATATAAATGAACATATATATATTATATGATTTGAAATAAATATTAAGGTAGATCGGGTGTTTAAATTTTCGCGCCTTCTGCGCAACATGTTGCGCATAGTGTTGTAAACTGTCGTAAAATTTTATCAAAGTAATATTGTTACTTTTTTTTTTTATATCTGTGAAAATTATCAGAAACGCTTTTAAAATCGTATTTTATAAACTCAATTATCAAACAAATAATCTCATTTCAGTTTGATTGCTGCAAATTGTTTACTTCCGTCATGGCGACCTGCACAACATGATGAAGAATGGAAAAAAAAAAGAAAAAGAAACTGTGATCGTGATAAAGTGGACTGCTTTTTATAAATACTGTGATGTAGATCTGTAAATTAACAATATGATCTTCGTCCTGGTAGCTTATGAAGCAATTCCACACAGATTCTGCACAAAAAGTAGACGACAGAAAAAATGGGAGGTAAACAAGTTATTTTTTTTTTGTGTTGCTGCTTGCCGTAAGTACAATTTATATCGTATCGTCTGCAGTAATCTTACAAATGATGGCCGAAAGATCTCAATCAGGAAAATTCAAAAAAGCAAACACGTTCTCTAGGGCAAATAATTTTATTAACACCAACGTCAAAGACTCACTTTCAGACCCCCCTACTTCTTATCATAATGAAGACGCAGATTCTGAGATGCCTTCTGTACATGTAGAGGTTCATGTCAATCTTGACCACACATATACCTTACCGCTGGTACTAGACAATGACCCTTTGGCAATTTCTTCTGAGATTGAAGTCCGCACTGAAGACAGTAAAGGAGAAAACATTGAAAATGAACTATTATTTGATTACATCCCATCAGATCTTGTTCCATTAAGCCATTGCAGATTCATAGTCGATTTGGGTTTTATGGCCGAGCAGTTAAAACATTGTCAGTCTTGTCAGTCAACTCTTCATCTCTACAATGCATTAGGAGTTAAACCTTTAGGATTTTCAGGCTTGATGTATGTCCAATGTCCTGAATGTGGTGGTGTGACAAAAATCAAGTTGGGGAAAACTCATCATAGTGGAAATAGTAAAAGAGGATGTGGAACTTTTGACATTAATACAAAAGCTGCAACAGGTGCACTTTTTATGTAGTTGTATTTACGAATAAAAACCTTCGTAGAATTTTTTTCAGTCTCAAAATATATATATAATACATGTACATGTACATGCAGAGCTCTGCAATACATGTACATTGTTGAAAAGTATAGGTAAACTATTTGTATTTGGGCAAAACGGATTGAAATGTTTGCAGAGCCTTGCATTTCCCAAGTTTCTAAGCCTCATACAAATGTTACCAATATTTTTTCAACACAGATGTATAGTAAATCAGTTATTCTACATGTACAGTGAAATTTTGATTTTAAAAATGTGCTCATGGATGTTTAAGGGTAGGAAGTGACTTTAAAAATATTTCTCAATCAGCAAACTTTTTTCAAATACATTGTTGTAACTTAATCATGTTAATATACATCCTACCAATGTTTTATTATTAGAAATGTGAATGCATTTTTCTGTAATTCAGTCCTCCCTTCCTTCCCTCTCACATCCAGTTTAATTCACAAATAAGTAATATCCTTTGAATAAAGTCATGACATAAAGTATTGACTAGTTTTATATTTATTCATGTCAGATTATAATTGAAAATTAATATTCACTTAAAGTAGTAAATAAATTTTTAAATGCATGTCTTGCATGTTGCTTATGATACCAAATAAATTTCTAGATTTCTAAACATACACATGTATATTTTGAGTTTAATCTTTGTTAAATAAAAAGTGAGTCACAAATTGGTTTATTATGTTATGTATATACATGTAGTTGCAATCATTTACAAATCTATGAATTCTGTTGATTACATTTTAATTTTATAGGAATGCTCCATGCTGGTATTGGGGAAACCCAGCTTAACAATCTGCTTTCAACAATGAATGTACACTGTATAGACACTAAATCTTTGAAAGCCAGAGAACATGAAGTTGGCCAAGTATTGGAGAATCATGCAAAAGAATCTGAGCATAAATACTTACTAGAAGAAGCAATTGGGTGTTTAAATATTAACACAGGTTTGAAAAAAAAACAAATTAGTATAATCATAATAATCATTTATTGGTCTTACAGTCTGTTTAGTTGTTTGTCTGACCAAAAAAGAAATTTGAAATTTTCTACTATATGTTCACCTAAAAACTCAAAATATTTCTGTCTGACATTTTGTCGGTCAGACAGAGTTTGGGTTTGTAACAACAAACATGCAAGGAACTATTTCTTCTGTTTAGCACCAAAATCAACAAAAAAATGTATGGAACAAATTCCTATTATATATTGACCTATATCACATATATGTAGTATTCCCATTTTGCACTAGTGCAATATAACTTAAAAATTAATTGCATCTATTATCAACAACAAAACAAAAATAACTTTTATTTTATAAAGCTTGCGATGAAAAATTTTGTGCAAAATGAAATTCTTCTTTGGACAATATTCCGCAATAATCCTGCAAAACCACTATAATACATGTACCATTGATCTCTTTTGTAAAATTTCATAATTTAGTCCTTGTTTATTTTCCAGTTATGTACATATGATTAACCACATCAAAATTTATAAGGAAATTCTGTTCACTCTAAGTACCGTGATAAGTTAAAGGGGACATAATTGGGTATATGTTCAAATGTACAGATTGCACACAAGAACACAGTTTTAATAATACACCGAAGAATTAGTTTGAGATCAGTATACCTACACTCATTAAAAATTTGTGAAACTTTACCAGTAATACATATTTCAAGCATTAACATATTGATACAAATGTACAGGATAATTTTCAAATACAGTTATTAGTCAAATTACACAGATGCAATCTTTACTGTCATGGTAACAATTTGAATATATAAACATGATAGATGAAAGCTTTATTTTTATACAATAGAAAATGAAGAAGGAAAAGGAATCACAGTATCAACAGACACCTGCTGGCAAAAGAAGGGTTCTGGAAGGGCATAAAACAGTTTGTCAGGCATGACTTTAACTGAGTTTAATCCAACAAGAACAAAGTTCAACAAATAATCAGATATTTTATTTTATTTTATTTTAAAAACTACTTTTCCGTTAAGGTAGTTCAGGGGTATAGAATAAAAATGACAGAATTTTCTTATACTTGGCCAAAATGAAGCTTTTACTATCCTTTTTACAAAAAATTGATAAAAAGTATGGGTCATCAGACTCACCACACTATTTTTCAAGGTACTAGTTGTTCAAAATTGACAAAATTTGCTTAGATTGTTCGTGAAAAAATGCATTTTTGTGCATACAAAGAAATCTATGAGACAGAATTTTGAAATAAAATATGAGAAGATAGGTTTTATAATATATTTTAAGAAAATAAAAAGAAAAAATGGTGTCACCGAACTTGTTTTTTTGCTACAAGTAAAAAATGAAAATTTCCCTATATGTCCAGTATAAATTTTGTACAAAAAGAGTTATTTCCCCTTAAATGGCTTATTTGAAAAATTAGTTCTATAAGCACAGCACATATATTTGGTATTTGTTAAAACATTTTTGATAATGTCAATAAATGGCAAATCTGTCTCCAAATTTGCAGATTTGGGCAAAGAACTAGACCGATTATTTACTGTGATTGTACAATTCAAGATGGCGGTATACTCCTGAACTTCCTTAAGCTAGAAATATTAGGTCACATGGTCCTATTTATTTTTTAATTTCACATACATACATCCTTAACATTACCATTCTTAACTGTCATACAAAGGTCTCTTTTAGATCTGATAATTTCTCTGCAAATATGTTTGTTAAACTGAATTTTCATGAAACCTTTATATGATAGAGGAGTTTGAAGATAAATTTTGGTTCTTAAATCCTTATAATTTATAATAATGACACTTGTTTCAATGCAAAGCATATTATGTAGATATGCACAAAGACAAAACATTTTTATTCAGTTTATTGCCAGGGAAGATAATGTTGTGAAATTTTTGAAAGGGGAGATAATTCAACTTAAAGGTTTTAACTGATTTTGAAGAAAAATATAAAGCTTGGACAATAAAAAACAGAATAGACCAGGAGGAGGGTGTATTCCTCTGTGAGCTTGTAATTATAGTTTGATCTAATGCAGATATTGCTTATCTCTTACAATATTACAATATGGGACATTCATGTCCTTTAAACTCAAAATTTTATTTAAGCTAGTTTAAATTGAAATAAATAATTTCAGGTGTATCAACATTGATTGGTAAAAATACAGGAGGAGTTGTCCATCATGCAATAAGATGTCAGCAATGCAGAATCTGTGACAGTGCAACAAAAAGGGGGATTCAGCCCAAAGAGCACAAATGTAAGAAAAATTGGACAGGCTCAGCAAAGGCTATGGAGCCAGATATGCTAGTTCAGATGGTAATGGATGTGAAGAACAAAGGGATCAACATAGATGAAATTGCAGGTGACGATGATACGACCGGATTCGACAGGCTGAAAAAGATATATCCTGAATGAAAGATGATTAAAACCAGTGACAGAAATCATGTAAAAAAGAATGTCATTAAAAAGTTATATGCAATTAAAAGCCAACATAAGCAGCTCTCTGACATGGTTATGAATTCTATATTGAAGAATTTTTCATTCATGATAGATCAAAATAAAGGAGATGTTGAAGGAATGGAAAATGGCCTAAAAGCTATAGTAGAGCACATGTATGGGGACCACGCCCATTGTAATAGATCATGGTGTGGATTTCTTAAAGACGGAGAAAAATATAAGCACAGTAATTTACCTCATGGAAAAGACTTGACATCTGATTCATTATGGACAGACCTAGAGAAGATATTTTTGGGGAATGACTCAGTCAATCCAAGGAAACTTGCATCATTGTCAAGCTCACAAGCAAATGAAAACTTTAACAACATGCTTGCTGCAAAAGCTCCAAAAGCGAAGCACTACTCCTCATCAGCAAGCTTGGGCTACAGGGTAGATTCTTCTATCTTGCAAAAGAATGAAGGATATGCCTATGTTAGTGAGGTATAACTATATGCACCCTTCATTAGCTCTTTAAAAAATTTAAAAGATAGATGATCAATGTAAAATACAGTTATTTTAGCAGTTTTTGGCTTTTCATCTCAAACTACTGTAATTTAGAAATTATTGGGTGCATTTATTATTGTGATTTTTGAGAAATAAACAATAATGCAAGATTAATAACTGAGATTTATTGCAGTGACTCAGGATTTCCAGGTGACCAATTAATTTAAGCTTCTTGAAGCTTGTTGTTATAATTTTCATTCATTGGAAAAAACTCCAAACATTCAGTATGGAGATAATTATTTGTATGGTCTGAGAAAGAACATTTTTTTTATATAAGTTGGAAAAAATTTAGGGAGATAAATCAACAAATATATGCAAGATAAATCAACTTGATATTGAATGTTATATATACATCAGTTTCTACAACTTGTCGCTTTATTTATAACTACATCTAAGTTTATATGCTATTTCTCTATTCATATCTGATTCAGTATGAAAATACACATTTCAAAACTTTGTCTTATTTTCTTTATTTCATATATATATATATCTTTGAAGGTTCATGCATCCATGGGACTGTCTCCTGGAGAGGAAACAATAAAAAGAAGCTCCAAAATAAATATGAAAAGGAAAAAAAACAAAGAAAAGGCAAAAACCAAAGAAGCCAAGAGAAGACGTTTCTTCTTAAAGCAGACAAGAACCTCTAAGACTGCTAGTAAAGAAATAAGGGAAGGCAAAACTTACGAAAGTGAAATAGGTATATATTAGTATTAAAAAGCCACCAATAATGTTTTCTGAAATGTAATATTTAAATAAATCTTACATAATGAAACATGTCATAACATCAAGGGCAGAATCAGGCAGGTGGTGAGGTGGGCTTGTGCCTCCCTAAAATTTGCTAAGAATGGCATGGGTTGTCAAAAGCTTAATTTCTATAATTTTACCTTAATAAATCTGGCCCCCCCCCACCTCTACTTGTAATTTTTATTTAGTTTGCACCCCCCCCCCCCTTGCCCTGAACCTAAAATATTTCATTTAGTAAGATTTATTTATACTGTCCCCCCTTTTGCCCTGAACCTAAAATATTTCATTTAGTAAGATTTAGTTATACTGTTATTATGAACTTTAAAATTATATTGGGACTTTCCTTATCTATAGATTTTATAATGTTAAAATAACCAATCTTTATATTTCAATATATATGCCTAGATACGATGAGATCTTCAGTTTCTGAAAAAAAATGACCACAACTATGCGAAACCAATACAAATGTTTTATACTATTTTATGTTATAAATAAATATTAAAAGAATGTTGTCTTGTGTGGGGAAAAAATTAAGCATGTATGTAAATATTCCAGAGGCACTCCCACTTCTGGTTCTTCTTTGTGATTACTACAGTTTGTGAGAATTTGTTATTTAAACGTATTAAGTTAATCAAAATTGTTGTTTCAAGATTAAATTAGATATAAGGAGACGTGGTATGGGTGCCAATGATAAAAGAGGATTACACATTAGATACTTATTCTATACAGGGATACAAATCGGTGGTTTACATTATAGTATAATCTGATATGTGAATTATACAAGGTGCACAATGTACATGTTAATCCTTCAATAATTTATGATCAAATTATAGGATTCAAATCTGAAGTTACAGACAAGGAGTCCGAGGAGATTCCTGAAATACAAGACATCACAAAGATCCCTTTGAATGAACAAGAGGTTATCAAAGCACCAGTAGTAATTTTTGATTTAGAGACAACTGGCCTCAGTAAGTGTAAAATTAACGTCTAATGTTTTAATCTCAGTTTAATTTTGTTGTGAAAAATGAAAATTGAACTTTGACATGAATAATGTCTGCATGGTAAAAATAATCATAAAAATAAGTAAGACGAAGAAGTAAAAAAAAAACCACAAGTTAAAAAATTAAGTTTAAAAAAAAATGTTTTGCTCACAGTACACCAACAAACTAGAGGCTCTAAAGAGCCTGTGTCTCTCACCTTGGACTATGTGCATATTAAACAAAGGACACAGATGGATTCATGACAAAATTGTGTTTTGGTGATGTGTTTGTAGATCTTACTCCTTACTATTATCTCTATATATAATGAACTTGGCCCGGTAGTTACAGTGGAAAATATTTTGTAAAAATTTACAAAATTTATGAAAATTGTAAAAAATTGACTATAAAGGGCAATAACTCCTTAAGGGGTCAATTGACAATTTTGGTCATGCTGACTTATTTGTAGATCTTACTTTGCTGTACATTATTGCTGTTTACAGTTTATCTCTATCTATAATAATATTCAAGATAATAACCAAAAGCTGCAAAATTTTCTTAAAATTACCAATTCAGGGGCAGCAACCCAACAAAGTGTTGCCTGATTGGTCTGAAAATTTCAGGACGGATAGATCTTGGCCTAATGAACAATTTTATCCTCATCAGATTTGCTCTAAATGTTTTGGTTTCAGAGATATGAGCCAAAAACTGCATTTTACCCTATGTACTATTTTTTAGCAATGTCAGCCATCTTGGTTTGCGGGCGGGGTCATCGGACAAATTTTTTAAACTAGATACCCTAATGATGATTGTGGACAAGTTTGGTTAAATTTGTCTTAGTAGTTTCAGAGGAGAAGATTTTTGCAAAAGATTACAAAAATTTACAAAAAATGGTTAAAAATTGACAATAAAGGGCAATAACTCCTTAAGGGGTCAACTGACCATTTTGGTCACAAAGCTTATTTGTAGATCTTACTTTGCTGAACATTATTGCTGTTTACAGTTTATCTCTATCTATAATAATATTCAAGATAATAACCAAAAACAGCAAAATTTCCTTAAAATTACCAATTCAGGGGCAGCAACCCAACAACGGGTTGTCCGATTCATCTGAAAATTTCAGGGCAGATAGATCTTGACCTGATAAACAACTTTACCCAGTAAGATTTGCTCTAAATGCTTTGGTTTCAGAGATATAAGCCAAAATCTACATTTTACCTCTATGTTCTATTTTTAACTATGGCGGCCATCTTAGTTGGTTGGCCGGGTCACCGGACACATTTTTTAGACTAGATACCCCAATGATGATTGTGGCCAAGTTTGGTAAAATTTGGCCCAGTAGTTTAGAGGAGAAGATTTTTGTAAAAGTTAACGACGACGGACACCAAGTGATGAGAAAAGCTCACTTGGCCCTTTGGGCCAGGTGAGCTAAAAATTGTAATCAGCTCATAGCGACTTGTTTATTTTTAATACAACAGCAATGTTTGAATCACAAATTTGCACATGTTTAAATAGCAACTTTTTAAGTTTATTGTCTGATGTCAATTTGTTTGTCCAGAACAGATTTAGTGTCAAACATCTATCATTTTTTGTTGTTCAGTTGCTGTCTCTTTCATACATAGCCGATTTCCATTATATATTCATTATATCTTATATTCACCTTGACATGCGTGTGTCAATAATAATTGAATGCAAGATTTTGTGGCTTTATAAGTGTGTAAATGTGTATGTATGAAGCCAGATAAAAGTTGTTTTGATATTTCACTTATACTCCTTGTCATCAAAGATGCATTTTATTTATTGTTCTATTGTAGGTAGGAAATCTGACATTACCCAATTAGCAGCCTATTCAGAAACTCTGAATTTTAGCACTTACATTTTTCCATCCCAGGCAATATCCAAAGAAGCATCAGAGGTCACACAAATTTTTGTGAATGGTAATCAGATGTTTCACAACAGCACTGCAGTTCAATACAAGTTGGCCCATGAAGCATTGACGGACTTTATTATATTTTTATCAAGTTTTCCTAGTAAATGTATTCTTGTAGGTCACAACATCAAACGCTTTGATACTCATGTGTTATATAACCAATTGCATATTCATAACATGTGGAATGAATTTTGCTTACATGTTTGTGCTTTTTGTGACACCTTAGATTTATTTAAAAGTGTTGTTCCAGGTATGTCTTCATACAGCCAAACATCTCTTGTAAGAGAGCTCTTAGGTGAAACTTATGATGCTCATAATGCTATACATGACACCAAAGTTTTATACAAACTTGTAATTGAAAGAGGAAATTTTAAAGATAATGTGGTAGAATTTTCATTACCTGTTAGTTATCCTTATGATTCACATGTTATCCAAGAAAACTTGAACACTTTTTCTCATGCTATAAATTGTAAAGCTATTTCAAAATCTTGTGCACTGAAGGCATCAAAATCTAACCTTAAATTGTCTCATTTGAAGTTAGCAGTACATCGAGATGGTATAGATGGACTTAAAGCTTTACTTGCTGAAAGGTCTAACAAGGGAAGTGTGAGAGTAACTAAATGTACAAGAGTTATTCAAAAACTGTTTGATTTTCTTCATGAAGATTGAAATAATATGCAATAATAAGGTCATGGAAAATTACCTTGTTCTCAAGTTCACTAAATGATACAGGGGGAAGGAAATTTTTTATGCTCCAATATCAAAAAGGGAAAGGGCCATTTAGATTTACCCTTGTCCGTCCATATGTCCTGGTATTGGTTAGTTTTTTACCTGCGTTGCAAAAAGCATCATTTATATTTATCCTTATACATTTGTATGTAATGATATTGGTTAAGTTTATACTGCTGGAGTTCAATATAATGTTTTCCTGGCTTTTATGACAGAGAATGCAAATGATTTTAATATTTGTTCTGGGAATGATTATTTATGCTATGGAATGCATATTACCTCAATCAATTGAATGGAGAGGCAGGTTTGGAGCCAGTATTGGTCTTGTTGTGTATATATGTCTGCTTCCTAGACATATACATGGTATATAGCAATGAATATAGGTTATTTGAGGGTCCATTTTACATCAAATAATTTTTCTTTTCATTCTTAAAAAGCTTTGCCAAATTAAAAAGAAATATTTTGAACATAAAGTTAACATTAGGAAGGGGCTGAGAACCAAGAAATAAATGTTATTTGGTTTAAATAAAAAGAGTAATGATGATGTAATTTTTAATGACTGTTTATAATATAAAAAAAAACTCTGCTTTGTATTTGTTGGAAAATGTCAAATATATCCTCATTTCCTGATGAGAAAATAAATAATCATACATAGTACAAATTTGTTGCCAATTATTTAATTCGAGAAACACACAAAATGAGTGTGACATGTGTGATCGGATCAACAATATCGAATTCCTTCCACACCGGCTGCAGGATTCATATCCAAACTTATCCAGTGTACTATAGTCTGTAGCTGTTACTCAAGAAATTAACTGATCACAGAAAATTATAATTATTTTTCATTTCAAATCTTTCTATTCAATATGGATCTTAAGTCCCCCTTTTTGATGTTGTTAAAGGAATGATAAAGATTGTTCTGAATTCGTCTACTAATTGTATAAAAAACTGGATAAGTGCACTGTAAAACCTGGAATTACCCACAAATTGCACATACAAATGTCATTACACAGTCCGGAGTAAGATGGTTGTCTTCGGTTTAGACAATGCATCAACTTTTTCCCATAAAAGGACAAACCAAAAATTGTTTTTATGAAAATACAATACAAGTTCTAGCTTCACATGTAAAAATAAATGTGGATAGTGTCCACATGTGTACACAGATGATGCCCCCGCTTGCATATCATATAGTTATAAAGGGACATAACTGAAGAACGGTAAAAGTGACGCTACCCAAATTTGAACTTGATCTGAGTTTTGTGGTAGTAAGCATTGTGTGTAAGTCTCATAACATTTGGTTGAGGCTAACTAAAGTAGAGAACAGAAACTAAAAATTCAGTAATTTTTCTTCTTGTAAACACGCATAACTCTAGAACGGTTGTGTATAAGTTTTATAACATTTGGTTGAGACAAACTAAAGTTAGAGAATGGAAACTAAAATCAGCAATTGTTATGTTTATAAAGGGACATAACTCAAGAATGGTGAAAGTTGCCATCAAATTTCGTACTTAATCTGTATTATGTAGTAATAAGCATTGTGTATAAGTTTCATAACATTTGGTTGAGGCAAACTAAAGTTAGAAAACGGAAACAAAAAATTTGTACTTCATCTTAGTTTTGTGGTAATGAATATTGTGTATAGGTTTCATAATGTTTGGTTGGGGCAAACTTAAGTTACAGAATGGAAACTAAAAAGTTTGCAATCTTTCGATTTATAAAGGGGCATAACTCAATAATGATTAAAGTGACACTACCCAAATTCAACTTGATCTGTGTTTTATCAGTGGAAGTCAAAATTAAACATTGCATTGTATAAAGCATTGATTGTAGTTGATTCAACTATAATCATGGACAAAGGAAGATAACTCCAATTTTAATAAAATAACTTGATATTTAGAAGAAAATAAAAATTTTGCAATTTTTCCATTTCTAAAGGGGCATAACTCTAGAACGGTTTAAGTGACGCCACCAAAATTCAAACTTGATCTGTGTTTTGTGGTAATAAGCATTGTGTATAAGTTTCATAATATTTAGTTGAGGCAAACTTAAGTTAAAGATTGGAAACGAAAAATTCAGCATTTTTTCCATTTGTAAAGGGGCATAACTGTAGAACGGTAAAAGTGACGCCACCAAAATTCAAACTTGATCTATGTTTTGTGGTAATAAGCATTGTGTATAAGTTTCATAACATTTGGTTGAGGCAAACTAAAGTAAGAGAACGGAAACGATAAATTGAGCAATTTTCCATTTGTAAAGGGGCATAACTCTAGAACAGTAAAAGTGACGCCACCAAAATTCAAACTTGATCTGTGTTTTGTGGTAATAAGCATTGTGTATAAGTTTCATAACATTTGGTTGAGGCAAACTAAAGTTAGAGAACAGAAACCAATTTTGGGACGTACGTACGTTCGTACGTACAGACGGACAAGGGTAAAACGTAATACCCTCTCTGCTACGACGGGGGCATAAATATCAATCATTGACCTTTGGTTCAAAGGTCAAGTCACATTGTAGTCCTTATAGCACATGACCTACCCTCCTTTCATTTTACACGTACTTAACAAACTTCATATTAATCTGTATAACAATGAAAACAAAATTTTTGACATCCAATCAATCATGCATACTTGAAATATCAATTATTTAACCTTGAAGCCAAAGGTCAAGGCTAAATTGCTAGCTGTCATGATGGTATACAACAAGCTGTCCCATGGTTTTACAAAAACATACAATACATCATCCATTTATCTCAAAAGACAAAAATGTTACGGCTTGGACAATTAACTACAGGTTTATAATATAACACTTAGATAAGTTTCAATAATTTGACCTTGAGGTCAAAGGTCAAGTGAAAAATGCGGTCTTTGTGGTACACAACTCGCCCTCTCAATATTAAACACTAACATACCAAATACCATTGATGTATCTAAAGAAACAAATTAAAATCTGAACAAGTAAAAAAGTAAATTTCCAAATTTATTCAATTTATGAATTTAAAGTTAACTCCCTTTTTTATCTATTTTCTTGTCTAAATTAACTCGTATCTTTCTTATATGGACGGTGACCTACCATTTTTTTTATTTTAACTTTTAAATTAATGTTTGGAGAATTCAATAACACAAAATAAGAAAATTCTATGGATTAGAAATGCAACTTTTTATTCAATAAATGTATCAATTAACGTTTTTTCCTTCATAGTCTATATGAAATTTGCGTCAAAATGTCCATTTTGCCTTAAATTTTCAAATCAAAATTTTGAGCTTGGAACACTGGTGACCCCACTTTTTTATTTGATATTTTCAAAGTATATATCACTAATAAGTTTCCCTTAAAAAATAAAAAAAATCTATGGATAAAAAATTAGACCCCCCATCTACCTTAATATATATGCAACGCAAAATTATTTGGCTGACCGACAAACAATCGGTTATAAAGACAACATTAGCTGCCATTTCAAAAGTTTTATCAACTAATTTCTTTTAACGAAGGTTCAACTTTGAAATATAAATACGATTTACTGCTGTCCGAAACACGCTAAAGAACAATAAATGGTACCATAATTAATTGCATTTGATGGTGTTAATGTCTCACAAGGCAACCCCATTAATAAATATATTAGTTAACATACCTGATAATGGAACAGTACCATTATAATCTGCATTACAAAATGTAAATTGAATACAAATACCTGGAATCCAGTTTTCACTATTTAGTACCTCGATAAAGATACAAAACTATTAATGTAACTCGAATTAAAAACTATGTGAATCAAACATTTATCATACAATCCAACATAAATTAAAATAAATTCGCTCGTTTTATAATAACTTTAGTAAAGGATTTGTATACTATATACCAATCCTTGCTTTAGTAAATTGTCTACTAATGTACAAATTATCAATGTGACCGATTTTAATTAATCAATCAATAATATGTTGCAAATTTAAAAATTAACGTAAGATAAGAATTTACATTAATTGTGCGTACAACAAACTCAACAATCTGACCTTAGATATATTCAGTTACTTCCTAGCAGACCGTGCATTCAGAATATTATGAGGAGTGCTATGGCTGTTACAATTGATATGCCGTATAATCGAATTAGGACATGCGCGTTACATTGAACTGTGCATGAACTGTCACAAGTCTTGCCTTCCTCTGATAACGCGATTTAACGGTCAAGCCCTTTAAATCGAATTATTGTTTTATTCCATATTCCGAGAGAGTACCGAGAGAAATATATGTAATGACAATTATTTACCAAAACCAGTTTTACATTAAACTATTTTAACATAATTATACACGTTAAAGCACGCGACGTTTTGCGCGGTGAATATACTTTTCCGCAGGTGAATATGCTTATTTATTCGAAATCCCATTCATATAGAAAAACCTACTAAACTTCTATCAATATGGAATAACACCAAATATCAAAACATAACCGATTAGTGACAGTATTGTGTTGTAAATATACATATCATATACTGATTCTTTTCAGATTGTTTCTTTAAAATTTAGGTACTGAATGTTTCTTATGCAATTGACTGCGTTTAAAGAGCTTAATTGAGGAATATTCAATAAGAGCACAAAAAATACATGAACACCATGAGACCTACACAATTGATATCAACGTTACTAACATGATTGCTCCTTATGTTCGTCAGGAATTTTATGAATTATCAAAATATTGACCTTCTTTTTCAGACTGAGTGGTCAGTACGTGACAATTGCTATTGCTGGATTTCCAGTAAGTAAGTTTTAGATTAAAACATGACACAATGAAAGGTACGTTTTTAGGCTTATTTGGCCCTGAAAAACCACCGGAAATAAAAAGAAATGCAGTCAATTAAAGCGACAGTTGTTTATTTGTGTTCAAATTTTGTAAAACGTTTAAAGTGTCGATATCAGTCGCCCTTCGTCATAACTCTGTTGCAGAAGTCTTTGTGTAAGGATCACACTTAGAGTTTGAATGTCCCTTTGGTATCTTTCGCCTCTCTTTTGAGATATGTAAACGCCATACTATGGACAACAGAGTATGTGACTACTGAGACATTTGAAGTTGGTTAGATTTATTAGTTTTGAGTATTCCTTTGGTATCTTTCGCATCTGTATTGTCATTGATTCTAGTTTGAAGTGAATCTGTGTCAAAATCGAGGAAGAGATCAAGATATGAAGCAGACCTATTTTTGGTAGTATCCTTATTCTCAAATTTACTGAGATATTTGAGACGTACATGCGTAAGCACTCATAAAAGTAATGTCTAAAGGGATATTTTCAGATTTTAGCAAAAATTGTCTCCGAACACAAACATGTTGGTTACATTAACATAGAGCACAAATGTCCGCTGGATTAGCGTTTGCTATTAAATAGTTGAACATAAAAAAACTTTTTAAATATCTTTTTGAACGATTGCTGTGTTCTATAACATTTCAAAGCATGTGCAAGTCAAATAGTCACAACAAAGAATTATTTCGCCATTCTGCTGAATGTCCTGTTATTCTTTTTGCTGTTTAAGCCTAGAAAGGAGTATATTTCTAACTATAAAAACAATGATTTATTGAAGTAGAAAGATTTAACATTTGATGCTGCAACAACAAGTCTTTAAATATATTTAATTTAGATCAAATTTAGTCCCGAGTCACACATCTCTTTTATTTGTGAAATATTGTTCCTTTTCATGAACAATGCGCCACGCGCGTTTTTCATCTACATAAGACTTATCAGTGGCACTCGAAACAGCTATATAACTAGTCTATAAAAACATTTAAACAGCAATGAAGATAAAGCCAAATTTGCCAAAGGTTTACATATGGCTAGGGAAGACAAACGTTTGTGTTTCGAATGATTTGACATTTTACTTACAGTAAATGTATATATTAAATAGTATGACCTTTTATTACAATGGAAAATAACAAACCACAATATGTGTCATTTTTGTAACCAATGAGAGAACTATCAATTATTTTTTTAATTGATCATATTTGACAGAATTTTGGCAGCAAGTCTACGATCTCTTAACACAAAGTAATATAGATTGTGTAATCACAGTACAACACGTAATATTTAGATACAAAATCATAGACAAGAAGTATTACTTCATTAATTTGTTACTTACAATAAGATTTTTTTATAAATAAGTCATATTATGTATCTGAGCCGAAAACAAAAAATGTTGATGTCTACAGAATTTACACATTGTTGTTAATAACAAGTATGATTTTATTGTTATTGATACTTCATGTCAACATAAGTGCTGACTGCTGGGCTGGTAATAACATCGAGAACAAATCGTCTTCTCAAATTGGCATCGACTTAGTCGTTTTAAAAACTCATGAAAGATATCAGGCGTGCGTTTTGTCTACATAACTGTCATCATTGCCATTCGAAACAAATAAAAATTGGAGAATCAAATCAATAGAGGGTTTGAGATCTAACAAAACATGTTTAACCTCGCCGCATTTTAGCGCCTGTACAAATTTAGGAACCTCTAGCATTTGTTATTATGGTTTTTTTTTGTTGTTTTTTTTTTTTTTTTTTTGGTTTATTTGTATGTTTCAGAGTTTAGTGTGTCGTCTTTTTCACTGAACAAGTATACATTATTATTTGGGGGCCAGCTGAAGCCCGCTTCAATGTGCGATATGTCTCGCTGCGTTGAGGATCTTTTGGTGGCCTTGGGCTGTTTTCTGCTCTTTGGTCGGGTTGTTGCCTCTTTGACATATTCTCAGTTTTCAATCTCTATTTTATCAAATGGCCAATTTATTACGACAAAGAGTCCTTAAGAACTGAAACGTATTCAGGTATGAGGTTTGGGCGCCCACAAACATGTTAAACGCATCCACATTCTGTCTCAAATTAGGAGCTTTTCATTGAGTGGATGTTTGTTGATTTTTATCCAATTTGTTTTTCGATTATTGTTTTGTACAGTTTGTTATTTTGCATTTTTGTTGTACTACTGTCCCAAGTGAGGGGAAATGATTGGGCGACCGTTAAAATGTTTATTCCCGCCACGTTGAGAATATGCCTGTCCAAAGTCAGGAACCTGTTATTCAGTGGTTGTTTTTTGATGCTGCATAATATCTTTGTTTTCTGTTTATTGTTTTTTCATAAATCAGGATGTTATTTCACCTTTAAATTGCATGCATGTTTTACATTTGTTATTTCGAGGCCTTTATAAGCTTGCAGTGAGGTATTGGTTTTTCTCAATGTTGTAGGCCGTATAGTGACCTATAGTTGCTTACTACTTCGTCATTTAGTCTCTAGTGGAGAGTTGTCTCATTGGCAATCATACCACATCTTTTTATTTGTATATAACTGTTAATAAAGTAATGCCCCATATTGAAATTTGAAAAGAAATTAGTTTAGTTCTATATCTATATCAAAATGTAATTATATTTACAAAACAAAATTGAAATGATTTTTCAGGGATGTGCAATAACATTTGCTCTCATGAGATATTTACAGTGCCAGGTGAGTTGTTTACAGCAGAAAGCTAGCCTTTAATATGTAATACATAGACTATACCATACAATAAAACAGACTACATCAACCACTATCATGTGACTCCTAATCAAAACAGTAATACAATGTAAACAAATACAAACAACAAAACAGACATCACAAGATCAAGATATGGTCTTGATGTGGTACAGGCACAACATGTGGTTAGGTTAAAATTCTAAAATAGGACTCACCAAAAGTAATATACAGAACATAAGATAATACCAAAACACTACTATCCGACGTTTATAATGAAATACTTTAATTTATTGCTACATGTTATCTCTAAAATCATTTCGTGTTTTTGATTCATATGTTTACATATATCAATGCTCGACATATCTTATTTTAATGCAATTGAATCAAATTTTGCAATTTCGTTAGCAGTCATTTCAGGAAGAAAACGAAGGATACCGAATTTTGCGTACATGAGAGTTCAACAAAAACTTCATTATGCACGTTCGAGGTTAAATGGTTGAACAGGCAATATAGAAAAGGAAAATATGATGAAAGACCAAACTATTTCTTATTCCGAGTACATAAAAGTTATTTTAACAGCGTCTAAAATCACATAAATACCATAATATGTGATATTATAACTGAGTTTCTATATATTGTTCATCTTTGTGTTGTCACTTTCACCTTCATTTTAAAAGTTTCCAACTATTACCACAGAACTGTCGGACTGGTAACATTATCACGAGATATTCATGGACAATTGAACGAGATAATCTACGTAAAACATTTATCATGAACCAACAACGTTTTGTAGGGAGCCGAAACGTATGCAATAGAACTATAATTTGATAATCATTATGAATTGTGTTGAAAATATTCAAGAACTTGATCCTTTGTTGAAGAGATTAAATTCGTTAAATTCACTATAACAATAGTAAAGCGTTTTATCTACAACATTAAAAGCCAAAAACGCCAGACCTTAATCCATTTACAATACCAAAGATGCTGTAGAATTTGTATTCCCCTTCGTGATAAAAACGTAGTTGTTCCAGCTGACAAGGAATCTAACACTATTGTTTGTGTAAAAAGGAAGGTCACAAAATAGAATACTGTGATATAGTTCTTTGACTACTGACTTATACCAATTTCAAATTTTGAGGTGAACCTGATAGAAACTCTTTTTCAGAAATAGGACCATTGACCACATTTGACATATTCCATTTGAAAAACTGAAACCTCTTTCTCTGTATTTTGTTTGCAAAATTGCAGTCAGCGATATAGATGATTTTTCTAAAATACAATTGGACTTATTTATAAAGTAGGGACTTATTTTTGCCTGCAACATTCTTGATACATTAGTGATAAAGTCAATAAGCATTGTATTTAAAATTACCAGAAGAAAAAGCAAAGAACTATCTATTCGCTTTTTCATTTTTATCGCTAATACAAAAAGTGTGATGTATCAAGACAGCACGTGATTTGTATGGAATAAATAACATTTAAACGTCTTCAAGGAAAACATTTATATTATTACTTTTGTTGAAAATTTATTGTTTATGCAAGCTACTAAAATCTATACCTTATTAGATGGTTCTTGATCCAAGAGGGTTTCATTTTGCAGAATATTGTTATCCCTGGAGTTCTTTTACAGTTAATCGCAAACATCTTCAATGTTGTGTATCACCTGATTTTGGTAACTGGATTAGATCTAGGTGTCAGGTAACACATTTTATAGTTATTGCTTATCTATGATTCACCAAAATACGAGTGGAAGATTCTCGGCTACTTTTTCACCAAAAGGCGATGGACTTGTGATGAGAAATAACCGAGAACCTTCCTCGAGTTTGAAATATCACTTCTAATATGTTCATCACACTTTTCCTAGGCAATTAAGGCCAATACCTTTAAAGTTTGTCTTATGACGTTATCGCATTCTCAGTTTACTCTATCAGAAAACTCATTCGGAGTTGAGTGGATAGAGATGAAACTTATCACAAAAAAACATCAAAAGATAATTAAGGTAACTAGAGATGGGTGCAGTCCTGTCTGCACAGCAAGATAACTGGATGACCAGACTTTATAACTGGTGAAAATTAACTTTGGACAGGATTCATGACTGCTCCGACCGGTCCTAGGACATAATTCATATTAATTTAATAGCAGACTAGGTCCTTGGACTGATGTTATGACTGCCCAAAAAATTAACTTTATGACAGGTCCAATATTAAAGTTAACTCTGGACGAAGTTAACTTTGCCAAAACCAGTCCTATACAAAAGTTTACTTGTGACCAGGTCCGGTATTTAAAGCAGTCATCGATCTAGAATGACCTGTTCTAATAAAAGTAAACTTTGGTTTGGTCTGCTCCAAGAGAAAGGTAGCATGATCCAAAGTTAATAAGTAAACAGTACCGCTTTGAATGATGAATATCATTTGAGTATCGACTTCCGGTCAGTGAAAACATAGGACCAATTAAAAAGCAGACCTTTTCCCATGACTGACATGACTGGTCTGTGAAATTGCAGACTTGTTCAAAGGACAGGTTAACATCAGACCTGTTCACAAGACTGGTATGGTCAAGCTGACCCTCCCATATATCTGGTCTAGTCAAGCTGACCTGTCCTCATGTCTGGTGTGCAGCAGTCTTAAATAAACAGACCAAAGTCTATTCTGATAAAGATAAAGTAAACTTGCAGGTCTGCTAAAATATTCGGTTAATTTAGAGAGCAGTCATAAGGTCTGCTCAAAGTATTTTTTCGAACAGGTTATGACTGCACCCATTTGTAGCGATAAATCAGGTTGTTAATTAATTTGCATAATCTTAATGCCAATGTGCTCACAATTTATAAAGTGTTTTTCATTTTATTAATTCACTTTCTCGACATCTGATCAAGATCAAATGAAAGTTTACTGTTTTGAAATGCGTGTGATTTTTTGCTGACCATGAAAGAGATTGACCAGTTTATTGTTATACTGCCTTTCACATATACTAGGGATGACAATTAGAGTATTGATAGGTCGAACCGAGTATCGAATATCAAAATATTGATCGAGTATTCAGTTTCCTGTTAAAATGTAGTTGTTTTCTTTTAATGTAATGATTTTATATTGAGAGCGCATCTAGGAAATATAAATAGTAATCTTTGATTAATCAAAATTAAAAACATGTCGAATGTTTTCGCTGAATTGTTAAAAACAATCTGTCGTAAAACGGTGGGCTATGCACGAGAGCAGCTTTCCTAGCTAACACTTTTGGCTAAACGCATCTTAGCCATTCCACCACATCTGTATCGTCCGAGCAAATGTTTTCGCCTGCAGAACTGTTTGCAATATGTTGTACTTAACAAAGTTAGGCACCGACTCTGTCAAAAATAGTTGACAAGATAATATTTCTAAATAAAAGCAAAGTCGTTCTTCTCAGAGAATGATTAAATGCATTTAAGGGTAAGTTCTCAAAACCCCTTTGTCAAACATTAATGTGTTTTCTTCACGATTACAAGATACTGTTGTTTGATCTGGTTAGACTTTGTTATCATTTTTTCCAATAGGAGGTAACTTAATAATTGATTAGATTATTGTTTACATGATTAGCACATGTAGTAAATGAGGTATTGATAATGATATCAAAATTCCAGTGATTATTATATACACCACGATAATAATGTTGAGGGTTTAAAGTCCATTAAACAACGACTCACAATACGTAAAATGTATATAATTTTGTTTTTCCATTTTGATGATATTTTTTCGAGCGAGTACTCAAGTATCGCTCGGTAAAACCATCGAGTACTCGATAAGTAATTTACAGGGTTAATTTATAAGAGAGATCAGTTAATGTAAGATGTCGGTGTTTTTATAAATACATGCCATTTTTTGGCGTGGTGTTACAAAAATATAAATCTTTTGGCATTTTTTGGCGTGGTGTTACAAAAATATAAACTTTTTGGGGCTTTCTTTTTTATATATATAACAATTAGAAGATGTAATATGATTGCCAATGAGACAGCTCTCCATTAGAAATTTAAATGACAAAGAAATTAACAACTATAGGTCACCGTCCGACCATCAACAATGAGCAAAACCCATATCACATAGTGAGCTATATAAAGCCCAGAAAGGACATCAAAATAGGAAACTAACTACCTGATTTATGTTCAAAACAATAAACGAAAAATTATGATCTACAGCAACAAACGTTAACCATTCCATTACACGTACATACCTAATTACAATTTACAGTAACTGTTCAAATAAATAGAATATGTTATATTATTTTTATCTATCAAATAAAAAGATTGGGTTGACCTGATAATTTCTTAAGGTTTAATGAATCTTACAACATTTGTGTATTATCAGCAAATATAAATTATTATTAATTGATTTATTTCAACATACATGCACCTGTAAAAACACATTCTTTGCAAAGATCGTCACTCACCATTCTATGTTACGTACTTCAAATCACTTCAAACATAAAATAATATTGAGCCGATTTCAAACAAAATTGACAGTATGTTATTTATATATACAGCTGCAAAGTCCCCGCAGTACTAAAAGCATAAGACATAATAACCATCGTTTCTTGAAATTTAAACCTTCAATCAATCAGATTCAGTACTAGTTCCATGGCCTTACAAATAAATACACAAACATTCACAGGGCGTTCATCATTGCCTTTTCCCATATATATCATTACCTTCAAGTTCTATAATGTTTATCATATTGAACATATATATTCATATTACGCCAGACCATGTATTCTGTTTTATCAATGCAAGAAAATATGTAATAATCATTTGTCAAGATGTAAGACTTACAAACAAAAATGAAAAGATAAGTATATGTGTCTTGAAACGGTTGCAGTATCAAGGCGCTCAAATTAAAACAATGGGAAAACCAGAAAAAAATAACGATATTCAAAAGCATCTAACAATTTAGAGAGTTTTCTTCAATCGGAGATAAGTTTGTTGTATATATATACTCACTATCATTTATATTCTTACAGAGGTGCTGCAATAGCTGTTGTATGTACATTCTGGACACAAATTTTCTTATACATAATGTTTATACGATGTAGTAAAATTTATAAAGAAGAATGGACAGGTAAGTCATATGAATTGAAATACTATTTAATTCAAAGCTGATTTCGCTCGGATGAAAGTTAGTTTGATATGTCTAATACATTATAAATTTGCAGGTAAAGTTGATAAAAGTTGACTCAAAACCACAATGTGAATTGCCATTTATAAATTTAGGTTTCAACTCCCTCGGGCAAAAGAGAGGCGAATGATACCAAAGGGACATTCAAACTCATAAGTCGAAAAAAAGAATGACAACGCCAATGGGAAAAAAAGACCGAAAGACAAAAAACAGTTTACAAAACACAACATACAAAACTAAAGACTGAACAACACGAACCTCATCAAAACCGGAGGTAGATCTCAGGTGCTCCGGAAGGGTAAGCAGATCCTGCTCGCCACGCGGCACCCTTCGTGTTGCTTATGTAAGTTCAAACCAGGTGATAAGTCTAATTCGGTAGGTCAGATCTGGGGAAAGGAGGACGGGATTGTGGTTACGAAGATTTGAACAAATCCTTCGTCATCTGCGAAACAGTTATCCCATAACTGTTAACCAACTCGTCCATAAAATTTTCGAAAGAATGATTTCAACTTCAACACTTGGAACTCTCGGTTAAATAACTTCCTTGTGATAAGCAACCGTCAATCAATGAAATCATGATAGTAAACGCAAGCCCTAGAATATCGTATCAACTACGAGATATATACTCAATATGCAGGTGCTGCTGAAATGTTGCTACATAGAAATAGAAAGCTCAAAGTTTGGAAGCTGAAATCATCTCTTTTGTCGTAAAGTTAACCTACCCTTATTGTGAATTTCCTAATGTAAGTCAAGATATGTGGAACACCTAACTTTATCTGGTGTATGCTTTATTTCAACTTTGAATTTTTTAGTGGGAGGAGATCTGCAAATTTGGCCGTTGATAGATTTGGCTATTATTTGTATTTCCTTTTTGGTCATATAACTCTCCAACTGATTCGATTCTTATACATCAATAACTTTCAAATATTCGGCTTCGTTCGTTCCAGATGAAGGTAAATCCTGATAAGTACTTCGGACGCAAGAAATTTATAAAGTTTTGTTTTCATTTTTTTTTTTTTTTTTTGCCGAACGTTTACAAACTTTTTCAAACAAAATATCACAAATTTAATTCTTTGTCCATATATGTTGTTTTGATTTATGAAAAAGGTTGTTAAAGAAGGATATACAACTATGAAATTTTCGTAACCCTAATCCGTCATCTGTTCTTCGATTATGACATCTCCGAATGAAAATCATCATCGAATGTGTACAACACGACGGGTGTTACTAATAAAGAAGGATCAGTTTATTTTTCCGGAGCACTTGAGATCACTGACAGATAAAGGTGAGGTTCGCGTTTCTCAGTCTCAGTAAACTTTGTTCTGTAACATGAACTATTAAGTGTTCTACAACTAACATTTTAGAGGTTTGTCTTGAAGTATAGATTCTAGGTACTGACGTTGTTTATCATCTTAATTACGTGTTATAGTGTTCTTTTTATGTGTCTTTATATTTTTAACCTTTACTGTTTAGTCCATTTTTAGTAATATACTTTCGGCGTGGCTCGGTATTTATGTATCCCGTTATTGTGTTATTGTGTTATTGTGCTATGGTCATTATTTGTATTCTTGTCTTTCATTTTTGCTTATGTGCTTTGTCTATAGAGTGTCTACATGCCATGTTTGTTTTTCTTTGTTGACCTAGTTGTTTTTATAGTGATAAAGTTTATAACACAATGTTGACTGCTGAACCCAAATTTTTTACATTTTTTACCTATTATGTCTGTTTGTTTTCACTTTGTTGTCAATATTATGGAATTTTACGCGTTTTTCATACAAGTGAGAGGTTTAGCTAGCATTAAAACCAGGTTTAATCCACCATTTTCTACATAAGGAAATGCCTGTACCAAGTCAGGAATATTACAGTTTTTTTTCCATTCGTTTGAAGTGTTTGAGCTTTTGATTTTGCCATTTGTTAAGGGACTTTCCGTTTTGAATTTTCCTTGGAGTTCGGTATTTTTGTTATTTTACTTTTTAACTAGCTCCTTAACTACTTTCAAAGAACTTATCATTAAAAAAGAGGCGCGAAAGATACCAAAGGGACATTCAAACTCATAAGTCGAAAATAAACTGACAACGCCATGGCGAAGAAAGAAAAAGACAAACAGACAAACAACAGTACACAAAACACAACATAGAAAACTAAAGACTGAGCAACACGAAATCCACCCAAAACTTGGGGTGATCTCAGGTGCTCCGGAGGGGTAAGCTAGTAACTATTGTAATTAAACATATAAAAATAGTGGAAATAACTTTTTTTGGAATTTAAAAAATTATTTGGAAGTTTTAGATATATTACGTGCTTTTGAAGGTCCTTTTGATTCTGCTGACAGTTTTGACTTTTCAACTCTTTAAACTACACTTCCACATAATCTTATCAAACAAAACTTTTCCTGTATAGTTAGATGGTTGTTTGTAAAATCTGATTGCAAATATATTTTCTGCAACTCATTTAAAGCCTTCTTCCCTAATGAGAAATGTAAATATGCTAAATATACTTACACTTACTGGAGGTAAGATAAAAAGTAAAATAACAAAAATACCGAACTCCTAGGATAATTCAAATCGGAAAGGTGATTTCTCATGGTCCTAAGTTTAGAGAACCCCAACACATCAATTGGAACCATAACTTCAAAATAATTATGAATTCCATTGAAGACTACGCCAGAGCATGGGCTAAACGAGAAGAAGTTGAACTGGACACTATGTCAGAATGGGTCAAAACTATCAGGTCATTGATAAAACGTCGCATTCGTAAGTTGAAAAACTGTGTGAATGATTGCCCAAAGTCCGTTTTCAGAGACAAAGAGGCCGTGAAATGTCTATCATCTCTTCATGATAAGTATGTTGTTGTTCCTGCGGACAAAGCTTCAAATAATATTGTCTTTGTATGTAAATCGTATTACTACGAATGTCTTGTAAAAGAATTAGGAATAAATGAGCACTCAGGTAATCCCACATACAAAGACATATCATTTGAAAAGGATGAGATTTTAGCAAATCATAAGTCCTTCATGGCTTCAATGAACATTACATTGAACACCAAATCGGAGGACTTATCTTGTTTGTATTGGATACCTAAGCTTCACAAATTTCCGTACAAACAACGGTACATTGCCGGCTTATCTGCATGTTCCACTAAAGAATTGTCCATTAGATTGACTAAAATTATGTCCGCAGTGAAAGAGGGTCTTCAGAAATAATGTGAAACTGTTTACTCGCGTAGTGGTATTAACCATATGTGGATTCTTAAAAATTCTAAAGAACTTCTAGATAATTTTAAATCTCGGTCTTTTTCTGAAATTAGATCTATCAAAACTTTTAATTTTTCAACCCTGTATACCACCATTCCCCATGCTAAATTGAAAAATCGCCTGAAAGAAATAATCCACAATGCCTTTCATCATAAAAATGGTAGCATACGCTATACATTTATTACTTTGGGATATCATAAGGCATATTTTGTTAATAGTGAACAAAAGGGTAAAACATGCTACACAGAAGAACAAGTGATCAGTATGCTGGAGTTTCTTATCGACAACATATTTGTTGAATTTGGAGGTAGACTTTTTCAACAAATTGTTGGCATTCCTATGGGAACGAACTGTGCGCCTCTCCTTGCCGACCTCTTCTTATTTTCATATGAATCGCAGTTCCTTCAGACACTTGTCAAAAACAAGAAGATCAAAGAAGCCAGGTTATTTAATTTCACTTTCAGATATATTGATGATGTTCTTTCCATTAACAATCCGAACTTTTCTGATTGGGTTCCATTAATATATCCCCCAGAACTAGAAATAAAGACACAACAGACACGTCTCATTTTTAGACTTATATCTCGAATTTGACATACACAGTCATCTCAGTACTAGAATCTATGACAAACGAGACGATTTTAATTTTAAAATTATAAATTTCACCCGCCTTAGTAGCAATATACCAACTTCACCTGCATATGGAATATACATTTCCCAACCTATTCGATATTCAAGAGCTAGCAGCTCCTACTCAGACTTTGTAAAACGTCACCAGTGTCTGAGCAGAAAGTTGATGAACCAGGGGTATGTCAAAGAACGTCTCGTCCTTTTTCTAAAAAAAAGTTCATCGGAAGGTACCAAGACCTTGTTGATAAATATTCCGTATAATCTTCACAAATAATACATGGTGGTCTTGAAGTATAGATTATGCGTACTGACGTTGTTTATCATCTTAACAACGTGTTATATTGTTCTTTCATTTGTCTTTGTTCTATTATTAATATTACTTTTACTGTTTGGTTTGTTTTCTGTGATATCCATTTGACGTGGATAGGTACTTATACATCCCGTCAATGTGTTTGTATTATCTTTCATTTTTGCTGGTGTGTTTTGAATATGCGACTTTTTGTGTTTCTTTGGTTCTTATAACGTGACTCTGTACTTTAAAAGATCCCGTCTATTATGAATTTGAAAATACTTTGAACGACAAACGACAAATTTATTTTTCTCGCGTAGTGGTATTAACCATATGTGGATTCCTAAAAATTCCAAAGAACTTCTGGACAATTTTTAAATCTCGGTCTATTTCTGAAATTAATTCTAACATAACTTTTGATTTTTTAACCATGTATAACAACATTCCCCATGTGAAATTATAAAATTGTTTTGAATAAACATTGAACGACAAAATTTCTTCTTACGTGACGTTAAAATTTTCTGACGTCAGACACGCGAAGCAATGAATGTGGTTTTTAATTTGATAGTTGCCTTTATGCTTTTGTGATTGTTTGTTTTGATATTGTAACACAGTGATGACAGCTGTACCCATATTTTGACTATTTTTATTTATTATGTCTGTTTTGTTCATGCATCGTTGTAAATATAACGGAATTTGATGAGACTGTCGTACAAGTGAGAGGTTTAGCGCTATAAAACCAGGTTCAATCCACCATTTTCTACATTATAGGATTAAACACATTTTTTCTAGAGGTTATTGATGTGTAAACCGGGGCAATTAACTCACAAACTGAATAAAAGTACGAAGGACTTTTATGTTAAGTTTGTGAGTAAGAGCCCCGGTTTACACATCAATAACTTCTAGAAAAAATGTGTTTAATCCTTATAATTCTTCAGTCAAACATTCGCGATTTTCAGTTAAGATTTTTTGTTTGATGGCTACTACCATCAAATGCACACGTCGTAACTAAGGAGTTAGCCGCCATATTGAATTTCTAAAATCCGTAAATGTTCGATAAATGCAACAGAATCTAAAATGAAATAGCACCTACCTCAAAAACACCATTTTAATGAGATATTATCCGAATTTGAAGCGTTCAAGTAACGAAATAATCTTTCGCTTGAAAGTTTTCATTTGTATGACGTCGTGTTTTGCCATGACGTAAATGCGCTAAATCATTCATGAAATTTCGCGGAATTTTTCATGAATTTTAATTTTATGAATTTTCAAAGCTTTAATGCAATATTTTTTTTGGTTACATATGCATTGAAATAGAAAAAAACTGTTATGTTTTTGTTTTTCAATCTCAATTTGCTGAAAATCCCGGACTCCCTGCATATGCATGTGTATCGCGCATGAATAGATGGTACGAAAGTAGTTTCGGAAACATGGTTTATCGAAGTGTAAACCAAGGTAAAAAATTCTAATTGACCAATCCGTTTCAAGTATTTATAGATATGCAAATCATATAAGAATTATTTCAAAATGGCTATACCAAGTCAGGAATATGACAGTTGTTGTCCATTCGTTTGATGTGTTTTGTCATTTGATTTTGCCATGTGATTAGGGACTTTCCGATTGAATTTTCCTCGGAGTTCAGTATTTTTGTGATTTTACTTTTTTCATATTCCTGACTTGGTACAGGCATTTCCTTATGCAGAAAATGGTGGATTAAACCTGGTTTTATAGCTAGCTAAACCTCTCACCTGTATGACAGTCGCATAAAATTCTATTTTTATTGACAACAATGTGTGAACAAACCAAACAGACAGAGTAGGTAAAAATGTCAAAAAAATAGGCGTACAGCAGTCAACATTGTTTTAAATAAAGGCAACAGTAGTATACCGCTGTTCGAAACTCATACATCGATAGAGATAAAAACAAATCCGGGTTATAAACTAAAACTGAGGGAAACGCATCAAATATAAGAGGAGAACAACGACACAACAAAAACACAACATTAAAATGTAACACACACAGAAACGAACTATAATATAACAATGACCATTTTCCTGACTTAGTACAGGACATTTTAAGAAAAAAATGGTGGGTTGAACCTGGTTTTGTGGCATGCCAAACCTCCCGCTTTTATGGCAACGTCAAACACAACACCAAAACGACAACATCACATGACAGGACCACAAAACAAATAAATGGGAGAACATATAGGACAAAGAAAAACACGAATAATAGCTAACAAAAGGTACTAGGCTTAAAATTCAATTCGCCAGACGTGCGTCTCGTCCACACAAGACCAACCAGTGACGCTCAGATGAAAAAAGTTTAAAAGCCAAAACAAGTACAAACCTGAAGAGCACCGATATCTTAAAATCTTAATCAGTAGAAAAACAAACAAATAGGTCAACAAAAAAAAACCAAAATGGCATATAGACAAAGCACATAAGCAAAAATGAAAGACATGAAAAATGACCACAGCACAACAACACAATGGCGGAATGCATAAGTACTGACCCACGACAAAAGGATGTTACCAAAAATGGACTAAACAGTTAAGGTTAATAATTTACAAAGACAAATAAAAGAACACTATAACAAGTAATTAAAATGAGATGATTTAACCGGTTAATTTTCTCCTTGATAACTTTAATGTACGTTTCGGCATTAAAGTGTATCGACAGATTGTAGGTATTCCTATGGACACCAAGTGCACTCCTTTAATAGCAGAGTTGTTCTTGTACTGCTATGAATCAAAGTTTATGACCAAACTCAGATTGTTATCTTGATGATATTTTTCGTCAAATAATCAAGATTTTTCTAAATATACTGCCGAAATTTACCCAATGGAACTTACCTTAAATGCATCAAATATAAACGGTAATAACTGTCCCTCCCTAGATTTAGAAATTTTAGTTTCAAAAACGGGAAACTCAACACAAAAATTTACGACAAAGGGGACGATTTTTCTTTCCCTATTGTTCATTTTCCTTTTTTAGATGGTGATGTTCCTTTGGCAATATCTTACCGTGTTTATATATCACAACTCGTTCGTAATGCTCGTGTCTGAAGTGACGTTTTGGATTTCAAGGAACGTAATCTATGTATAACTGATAAATTGTTAAGTCAATGATTTCGTTGTCACAAATTACTCAAAACCGTTACTAAATTCTTCCATAGATACAAAGATTTGGTTTTGAAGTATTGCTGTACCCGTAGAAAACTTATTTCAAATGGGATAGCACATCCTGACTTTTAAGGAGATGTTGTTTTCCGCGCCTGAAAATTTAGATACGATCCGGGTAAACTTATCCATCCTTCAAATAAACTTATTCTAAAAGGTTACCAATTCAAAACTGTAATTAGATCTTAAAATATTGTTTTTATTGGTATAACTATTGATTTTGTTATCAGTAAATCAAAACCAATCAAATATTCTTGTTATATACATCTTTATATGCACATTCACGGTTCTACAATCTGTTGATACTTGTATTTTGGCATTGGATAAGGTCATGTTTTTCTCTGACTTTCAAAGACGTCTTTATAGTTAATCCATTGGAAGTTGGATGTGTACTGATTGAAACTTTAGTCTTAGATACATGATTCTTTTATTAGTTGTTATTGGCTTTGAACTAGCTGTCATTAACTGATTGTGCTCTCAGATCAGTACTCTGTGTCTTTTTTGTTGTGGGGATGTATAAGTATCCTGCCACGTTTGGTCTGTGTGTATATTACTTGTTTTTCTGCTTTGTGTCGATCTGCTGAGTTAAGCCCTTTCTAACGGATGTTTATAGTGTGTTCATATGTTGTGCTGTTACGCCAATGTTCCAGGTTAGGAGAGGGTTGGGCGCTCGCAAAATTGTTTTACCCCGCCACATTCCGTATGTGCCTTTCCTATGTCAGGAGCCTGTAATTCAGTGGTTGTCGTTTGTTGCTGTATATCATATTTGTTTTTCGTTTATTGTTTTGTAAAAAAAACCACCCGTTATGTTTCTCGTTTGAATTGCTTTACATTTGACATATATGGGCCTTTTCTAGCTGACTTTATGGTATGGGTTTTCTCATTGTTGAAGGCTGTACGATGACCTATAGTTGTTAAGTTCTATGTCATGTGGTCTCTGGTTGAGAGCTGTCTCATTACCAATCATGCCACATTTTCTTAATTCTATATTGTTTGTCTTTTCGTCTTTTTTCGTTTGTTACCATGGTGCTATCAGTTGCTTTCGCCTTATGAGTTTTGAATGAACTCTTGATATTATCCGCCCATTTTTTGAACTTGGAGTCTATTTTACCTTGTTAGTGGAATACAACTTAGTTTTCATCGTAGTTTCTTAGTAAGCCTCATTTTTTTTTATTTGTAAACATTAAGTCGAAACCATTTTCTTCGAAAACACATTAAACACATTTTTCAAACGAAGTGTTCGCTTCTTCGCGCGCATGCAGTTTCTTTATTTGTATGAGGAAGATTACAGGATCTTCTAAAGAAGAGTCAAAGGCAACAAGTATAATCCTCCAACCTTACATTTAAATGATATCCTTTCATTCAATAATTCAAAGTTTGAATGCAAAGTTGATATAAAAAAAGAGGTGAACGATACCAAAGGAATAATAGAGCAAATGACATATACAGATGTTCCATTTAACTACAAATAAGGAATACAATAGATACAATTAGAAACAGTTAGAAACAGTCTGGTTTATATAGTAACTTGCATCTAGAAATGGATAGTTTGGGTCGCTTGATTCGTTTTTCTTTTTTCTAATAAATCAACAAGACAATCACCTTTGTAAAATAGCAAGAAATCATAAATGGTTATTTTGTCATTTGTAAGATTGATCAAATTAATGTCATTCTGAAAGTCATCAATTTTTACAGAAAAGGTTTTTTTTTATTTGTCAGAAGATAAATTCCCGCTATATAACTTATACATTTATAGAGTTATTAAATCATATATTTTTATAAATATTTCTTCTTCAGGAAGAATAATCGAAAAATCTATCGTCTATATGTTTTAGTGCGATCAATCCTAAGTATGAATTTGAATCGTCACTATTGGGACTCTTGTTAACCCTGACCAAAAGTATCATTAACAGCTTATATTACCCCGATCAGAACTATCATAACGGACTAATTTATAGCAAAACAATTTACTAAAAACAAATATGACAGACTTTAACCAAAGACAACCAATGAACTACAGGCTCCTGATTTGGGACCGGCACATAAAGAATGTGGCGGAGTTAAACATGTTTTTGAGCACTCAAACCTCCCCCTAACATTGGACAGTGGTGTTACAGCACAGGTACTATGAAATCACTAAAAACTCTTTGAGATATGATTCAGAGTACAGCATTCCATACATAACTCATCTTATTAACCTTGGTACAATTTACTCATAACTGAAGATCATGTAAAATAATGTTATATCTATTTAGTTCAAAAAATATATACCTTTTATCTCGTTATTTTCAAATTAAACCGTTAGTCAAACGTTATTTCTTGTTTTTCAGGTTTTAGCACAGAAGCATTCCTTGAATGGAACACATTTCTAAATCTTGCAATCCCTGGAATATTTATGATATCAGTAGATTGGTGGAGTTTTGAAATATCAATTATAGTAGTAGGTTTGTAGTTACACATATTTTCTTTGAGACTGAATATTGCAATAGTAACTTAAGGATGTTCGCTACTCTTGTTTTTGATTTTTTGACAGATATTCCGTATCCTCTTGTTTTATCAATGTAGTGCCAATAAACATTTTGCCCGCTAAGCCCTTCTTTTCTTCTAAATTATTTTTATTACATATAGTTTAAAAAGCCTTTTTGAAAATCTTATAAAATCCATGTTATTTTTTCATTGTTTTTGATAGAAAAAAATGTGCCAATGTTAAATGTATGAAACATTTAGAAAATTTATTTCCCATCAAATTTACAATTGATTATATCTCAAAAACAATGACACGGAGCTCTCATTTTTTTCTACTTTTTAAGTTCGGATATTTATACACTACTAATTTATAACAGTCTTTTAACAAACTTGTAATTTTTAAACAGAGAAGCGAACATCCTTAAGCATATTTGACCATAGTTGGATGTTTTTGTTTGTGTATTTGACTCACATAATTTTGTGTTTCTCAGTAAACGTAAAAGCTGAAATTTTAGATCCAAGCTTATTCATAAAAAGGTAATATTATATTCCTAAACGACCATTGACAGTTAATCAGTTGCAATTTGATTTCACTTCATTTTCGCAAATACGATGCATCTTAAAATCTTAGAAACTTGATCAGTAAAAATTTTTTCCATTGCATATTATGAAATCTCATAAAGGAAATAGGTAAAGGTGAATGCATGATAAAGCTACTTTTTGTTGTGTCATCTGTACTATTATTTGTCTGTTTGTCTTTTTTATTTTTGGCCATGGCGTTGTCAGTTTGTTTTCGATCTATGAGTTTGACTGTCCCTCTGGTATCTTTCGTCCCTCTTTTTTTGGCCCCTTAAGTTTACAAATGTGAGGACTATAATTGTAAATCTATGAGATAGACATTAGCCTTTTTTATTAATTTCGACATACATATTTTCATTTTGGCTTCAAACTGCTTACATTTATTGCAAATGAAAATAACACTTGAGAAATTGCGTGTACTGGAATCACTTTTCTTTTACTCAGCAAAACTAATTTGAGATCAGTTCGTTGGTCTATACATAAAATCCAAGTATATTTTCATAGAAGATCAATATTTAAAAAAAACATTATGTGTGTAAAAGGTATTAACATAAAATAATAATTTCAAGGTAAATTCAACCTTTTCTTTTTTTTTGTAATAAAATTAGCATTCTTTTGAATGGTTTGAATAATGATGCAATTTTATCAATTTCAGGGGTCAAAGTATGACGCAATTGTATTTTATTTCTCTTAGGGCTTTATGGTAACCCCTGACTTCGGTGTGTGTATAAATTAAGTTCATGAAAGTGTGATTCCTGGTTTTATAGATATTTAGGAATTATGAGTTTTACTCTCGAACTCTTCTGGAAAAGGACTGGACAATCAAAATGGGCGCGAAATGACAAAACACATAGTAAAATATGTTCTTATTCCTAAAAAAATGTATGTTTTTATCTAATCAAAATAACGATAGTCATATGTATATGACAGAGAAATCAAGACAATTCGCAAGATTAAATGAAATTCACAATTTCATTGACATCAAATCCGTTACGGCAGTTCCACACGTAATTCACAGAAAGTTATTACCTTTTTGTGTAAGACAAGACCGTATAAATATCACTGACTGGTACATATAAGAATTTGTAGATATTGGTTAAAAGTAAAGGACACATATATAAGTACCTAAAAAGCAATAGAAGACTTTCAATAAGTTTCTTTCGATGCATGAAAAATAGAGATTAATTCAAATATCATTTATATCATAAGGTTTCCTCGGAAAAGTTCAACTGGCAGCACATACCATTGTGTACCAGATACATAGTTTACTATATATGGTAAGTATAAGTTTACTCCTTCTTAGTATGAAAGTATGAATGTATTAGAATAATGAATAAAGGCATCATAGACACCAGGATTAGTATTTTGTACGGCATACACGCGTTTCGTCTACAAATGACTCATTAGTAACGCTCAAATAAAAAAGGCCACATAAAGTACGTAGTAAACGAATGACAAACAATTAATGTAGGATAATAGTTCTTTGATATATATTTACAATCACGTGGTCATTATCGATGCTGGATGATATACTGTATTTTGATAAAACAGTTCCCTGTTCGTACGATATTCAGTAGTTGTGTTTTCTATTATGATTTTCAAGATAGAGCATTGCGGCTTGCATGGTACCTAGTGAAATAATGGACTTGTTATAATTAGATTGAAGTCCTATAATCGCCATTATTATTTGGATAACATTTTTGGCTTGTCCTATACACATATAGACTCTGTTACGTTGCATTTGTCGTAATCACATTCAAATCCATCGCTTCTTGTTTTGAAATTAGCCAATGCGATTTATCCCTTGATTTGTACTTTTCAAGAGTAACACGACGGGAAAACTAGTTGGACAGGAACTACTAACCCTTTTAGACAACCTGAATGTTCCACTTCCCCCTCCCAGATTTATGATTTGTATTCGTGTTGCTCGATCTGTAGTGGTCTCTGTATTACTGTTGCCTGCATTTTTTTTTATTTCACTTAGTGCCTGTATTTTCGACCATTTTAATTCTTATTACCCGGTTGGTATCTTGGTCATGTTCTATTCGTATTATTTTCTTCATCTTATCTATTGTGTTCTTTTAAAGTTATTATCATATGACTTTGTTTGTAACAATGTATATACAAATTAGATGCGATTGTTACACCTTTGAGACTTCTTAGAGAATGAATTATTTAATGTAGACAATCAGCAGTAAAAACAAATAGTAAAATATCAGTAAAATATTTTTATATTACTTGTTGCTCACAGACCTCTTACGTGCATACCTTTAACTGTTACAGCTGATAGTCCATCGAAGCATATATCGTTTAAACTTTTCTACCTATTCTCCATTAGTGAACAAAATTCTATGTTATAACTTTTGTGAATTATAAACAGTTGAATTGTTATAGTTACAATGTTTCAGTTTATTTAAACGTATTTTAGATTCCCTTAGGCTTATCTTCAGCAGTATGTATAAAAGTTGGACAACATGTTGGAGCTGGGGATCCAATTAAAGCTCAGACGACATCTAGAGTTGGAATCTTGGTAGGATGTAGGTTATTTTACTGTTAATTCATTTATTTCAGCAATATCACTGACAAATGTTGAACTTTTAAGACAATGTTAAACGACAAAGTTTAATCATATGTTGACTATGGTTGTGTTTGTCCTTTTTCAACGTATGATATTTCATTGCCCTTCTTAATGTATTCCTGTTTTTATATATGTATTATAATTAGAGTTTATTAACCAATTATCGTTTTCTAAAGGTACTTTTGTCTATAATTTCATATAAAAATTCATACAAAAGTGTAAATTATAATACATTCCAAACTGGTATTCCGTCAAATTTGGGCTGCATCAATGACGAAGCAGCATAGGTGATAACATATTTGAAACGAGAGCATAATAAATTATTCTACTATGTAAAATGTCTCCTTCTTTAAAGCTCTTAAAATCCTCTTGACATTGTCAGTTTGTCATCGGCCTATGAGTTTAAGTATAACTTTTGGTATCTTCTACCTCTTATTTACATATATCTTGACCTCATATCTTGATTTACATCTAGAAATTGACAATGAGGTTCGATTGATAACAAAACTTCACGACAGATTGGAAGATTTAAACTTCAACTGTAAACTTTCCATTTCTTTGAAGCAACATTCAAGCAGCGCCTACATATCGAGTATATATTTCAATGTTGATACAATATTCCAGAGCTTGCATTTCCTTGATTGGTGCTTGTTGCTTTCAAGACAGCTATTTAACAAGGGCAACAAGTGATAAAGTTGTAGTCATCCCTTCAAAAGATTAACAAACGCCATCATGAGATGGTCGACAGTATTAAAAATCTTTTTCACAGATGACCATTTATATGTTCCAATTGTGGAAACCATATCCCCGTCCTCTTATTTCTCGGTTGTGAGGTCAACGAATTAGACTTATCACCGATTTTGTACTTAGAATGAACCACACGATGGGTGGAACTGGTGCAGCAGGGACTGTTTACCATTCTGGAGCACCAGAAATCCCATAAGATTTTGAACGGGCTCATATTGCTCAGTCTCCAATCCTTTATGCAGTGTGTTGTATATTTGCTTATCTTTTAGTTGTATTCTGGGATTTTGTCATGGCGTAGTCAGTGTCTTTACTTTAAAGCTTTGAATGCCCCCTTTGGTATATTCTGCCTCTTTTCCCTTTTTTTTTTTGTTGACGTCGTAGAAATTAATAATACATTTTATATATCATGTCAGGAACGAAGCACTTACTACTGAGCTGGTGTAACCCATTCCAATAACACATTATAATTAAACCAACTGTTGTTTGTTTTTTAAGGCGTAACTGCTCTGTTCACTAGTACATTTTACATTTCGATGAAAGACGTTGCACCAAAAGCATATACAAGCGACAGGTAAGATAAACTGTTATAAGTGACCTTGGTTTTTGTTGTCTGAATCAAACAATTGACACTACAAGGGCATGATAAAGAAAACCACGCTTAAACTTAACTATAGTATCTGACGTATATCCCGTACAAAAAAAGTTTTTGAAATGTGTAGTTTAGTCCGTGTAAAATAAGTCGCTTGTGTGTTTATATTCATTACACAAACAAAGATTGAAACTTTAATCTGGGGGAAGTGACTATAATTGTACAGCAACAAACAAATCATTTGATCGTTTTTCTTTATAATAGTTGTTTTTGTGCTTTGCGCAGATATGATGAGTCGTGCCATTCTCATTGATTTGTACATTATGTTCTTATGATGTGCTGTTTAACGTGAAACATTAAATAATTGCGCTCTTTGTTGGTGATTTGGAATATTGTTTATATATTAAATATATCGCATAACAAAAGCATGAAATATCTAAATAAGTTTATTAAAAGAATTTCAGCATTTTATTAAGACTAAAACTTTACCTGAATTTTATTACATTTTCATCGAAAGCAAAATCATAACGTGTATCATCACGAGATTTTTTATTCGGATTGAAGCATTAAGATACAGGTAATGTGTGTGCCAAAATTCAACTCACAAAACTAACTTACACAAAGACAAGAGACACAAAGTACCGATGTAACAGTACTCGCAGTTACTGAAAGCTAGTGAAAGCTAGTGAAAAGACGTCATCACCAGTTTGAGAAAAACACAACCGTGTACAATGTTAAAATGTAAGTGCATAATATCATCATGGAGATTTCTAAGAATAGAGCTTTCTTACAATTTGACGAAAGGTACGTACTCTTGACGAATCCTACGTAAGACCCGTTTGAGGGATCCTTTATTTTGACTTTTGAGTTCTTTTTATGTAGTAATAATCAAGGTTTTCATGGGACTAAGATGGCGTTTCGTCTCAATATGCACATCAAACACTTACTCTGCATGCAACAACATGTGCCAAACTTGACTTTTCATGCGAAATCGGAATTTTGTGACGTACGATTTGTAGGAGACAACTTAACGTAATTAGCTAAACATTGACTCATGAGAAAAAATACCCCAAAAACATTGTGCTCAACAACAATCCAGTCGACCCTCCCCCCAAAAAACAAAAATGATAATGAAAATATTACTTCTTAGCATTATTTAACCTCAGATGATACCAAAGTAAATATAAAATCCCACCGTCAATAAAGTAATTCAAAAAAGATCTTTCTAAATTGTAAATTTTTTAAACCTTCAAAAATAGTCAAATTGAAAAAAATGACACCCAAATTATATAACGGGGCTCCATTGATCATTTAGATGTTCAAATGTGTAATAAATGTAAATGAACAAAACCAGATCTATAATTAGAGCTCATGGGCGGATTCAAGAGTGGGGTGCACCTGATATGTCTATACTCGGCAGACAAATTCCTAGGCTAGCCTCTTATTCTGGCATTTTTTTATTATATAAACAACTAAGCCAGAGACAGACGATTTACGCTTCTGCAAACATTTTTCTGTTTTTTCAGTATAACTTGCTGCATGATTGTTGTGAAGTTGTGTATGTGTTAACTGTTCCCCTGTATCTCCAAGATTTATTTTTTTCATATTTGTTTTCCATTCATTGTAGTTTCTTTGGCTGGCAAATCTCGATGAAGCACGTTGACAATTTGTTCATGGCATACTCATTAAATAGTTGAAAATAATCTTGGTGTGTCTTTAATTTAGACTGCAAGAATTTCAATTAATGTAATGGTTTAAAAATTTTAAAAAAAGCAAGCTTCAAAACTTCCCGCGCAAATGTGTGTAATCGTGGTTAGCATAAGCAAAGTATTTAACGTAAGTGTACTTTAAACTATATTTCTTTATTATAAGATTTACTATGCGTAATTTATGTGTGATCTGCTTACATTTTTAAAGATTCATTTAATTCAGAAAAAAATACCCGTATTACCGGATTAAAAATAGTCTCTCGGTATTATCGTGGAAATGAAATACATGCTCCCTTTACGTTCGTTCGTACATTTCGTCAAAATGTAAGATAGCTCTAATAGGACATAACTCGACATACCTAACCTATCTGAACATATCTCGGCCTATTGCATTGAAGCATGACGGAGGGTAGGATAGACTGCATGAATTTATTTCTCGATGAATACACATACTTTTTTGGAATATATTTTACCCAATCTGCTATTTTGAATCTTTATATCTTGTTATTAAATTTTTGATGATTGTATTGACAACAACCTGTTAAGGGTATAATTAATCCAGTTACCGGTAATCAAATACACCGATCTTTACTTGGTCATTTCATTTGACCCATATGTTTATTTCTGAAAGGATTGATTCTTAAAACTGCTCAATAAAATTTAAGTCTGAACAAATCAAAATAATGAAATCTTAAGCAAGATGATACTTTCATTTTTGATTTATAAGTGATAAGGTTAAAACAGGAGTTTCAAACACTCCAGAATTTAAAAGGTGTACACGACTTACTCCCTTTTAAGCATACTTCTAAAATTTATTTCAAAATACCTTGTCATAGGCAGAAATTTATAGACATGTATCAAATAAGAGTTTGACCTAGATTTAGCCATACACTGAACATGGAAATGTGATAATGTGAGGGGACCCGGTGTCTTATGTCCACATATTCTTGTTTCAAATGTACATGTATGTGTATCTTCTATTTTCATAACAGCCTAAGTGGTCTTGTGGTAGCTTGCTAGCCTCAATAGTAGAGTAGCTTGAATTTTATTTCCAGTATTTCTAGAGAAGCAAACGATTTGAGTATTAGCAGTCAAAGCCTCGACATGGTTAAAAAACCGCAATGCCAATAGGGAGTGGACAATGGAAAATCAGAATAGCAAAATATATTTCAGCATTTACAAATGTAAAAAAATCAAGTTTTAAGCAGGGTTTGATAGATTGATTTTTGTTACTCGATACCAAGTAACAAAAACTACATTCATGTTCAGGACAAGAAAAATAGATCTAAATCGTGGGTCGACCTGGACTACTATGAGTTTTGACTGCAACTAGAAAAGAAGAGCATGTTAGACAAGGATAGAAATTTTGCCTATATCTAATGATTGCACTTTCCCTACATCAGATAGAACGTCTTCGTTCCGACTGGACTAGGCTGTGTATTTATACATCCCATACAACCAAACAGACGACCATTTAATCATGGTTATATTGTTGGATAATGTCTTGGGTAGAGTACATGTTGGTACACCCTGCAATGCTAACCCCCCCCCCCCCCCCCTCCTTTTTCTCCCAATCCCTGGTGGGGTAGTTTACGTGACCATAGTAACTCTTCATTGGTCACACACTGACATAAATATCCCGTCTATGAAAAAGCCAGATTTGTGGAATTTTTTCATGAGATAATTGTTTAGATAATAAAAGAAACAACATCGAATAAAGAAACAAATAAGCATGTACATGTAGAATCATGGAGCGTTCATCTGCAAAGTAAATTGAAAAAATAATTGCCATAATGATAACCATGAAAGATAACTCAAATCGATCGAATGATAGGTAAGGAATTTGTGTGTTCATACGTGATCTTATGTCAGTGAAAATTATGGTGGGAATCAGGAAAACCACGTGATAAATAAAATGCTTGATTTTTACCATTGGGTTGGCAATAACCGTTCCCGTTAGGTACGTACGTCGAGTTACGTATGTATGTCATTTTATTGGAAATCTCTATCAGGGTTTTGGACCATTACTTATCATAAATGTAAAGCAAAACGTATCTAGTTTGTTTTTCATTTATCTAAAAGTTTAATGTTAGTACCAATAAAAATCATATACAATTATCTTACTACTGTGTTAATATTATATCCTTTAAGAATAAGTTTTTTCAATGTTTCCTTTTTATTTGTCTTTGTATATTTTTAACCTTTACTGTTTAGTCCATTTTCGGTAATATCTTTTTGGCGTGGCTCGGTATTTATACATACTGCCATTGTGTTATTGTGCTATGGTCATTTTTTATATTCTTGCCTATCATTTTTACTTATGTGCTTTGTCTATAGAGTGTCTATATGCCATTTTGGGTTTTTTTTTTTTTTTGACATAGTTGTTTGTTTTTATAGTGATTAGGATTATAACACAATCCCCATTTTTTGACAAATTTACCTATTATGTCTGTTTGTTTTGCTCACACATTGTTGTCAATATAATGGAATTTTATGCGACTGTCATACAAGTAAGAGGTTTAGCAAGCTATACAACCAGGTTTAATTCACCATTTATGAATAGGACAGTTGTTTTCAGTTAGTTTGATGTGTTTGAGCTTTTGATTGTGCCATTTGATAAGAGACTGTCCGTATTGAATTTTCCTTGGAGTTTGGTATTTTTGTTACTTTTTTCAAATAATCTATACATTTACACAGATTGCATTTAAATATACGTGCTTTATAAACATCTTTACTGTAATAAAATAGGATGAAATATCCCGTTTTTCATACGAATTCAACAGGTACAGCCGATCTTCAAAACAAAATGTTTGTATATATGGAAAAATATAGTAAAATTTTACGTAATGTATTGTAAGGAAATCAATGACTTCATAATTTACCAGTTATACATAGATTTTGTTCGTTAAAACCTAAAACGTCACTACAGACACAAGGGCATAGCAAAAAGGTTTGGGATATACAAACCGTAAGAAGGGATAAAAAGAAAATCATGCCCATGTTAGGCAAATGATTCATGTGAAAAATTTTCAACACCGTCTGGTTGCAGTAAGAAACACTGACGATCATGAAAATGACGACGTATAAGCTTTTATGTCTCTGTAAGTTCCAAATAAATTATTGGTAGCATTGAATGGAAAGTTAATTGCAATCCATGATAATATTCTATAGTGTTTTTTCGATTAGTCAACAGAAAATATGTAAGAAATATGTTTAGAAATTGTGAACAAACAGTTTTTTGCTATCAAGTGGTGATATATATAAATAGGAAGAAGTGATATGAGTGCCAATGAGACAACTCTCCATCCAAGTCACAATGAATAAAACGTTAACAATAATAGGTCAAAGTACGGCCTTCAACACGGAGCCTTGGCTAGCACCGAACAGCAAGCTATAAAGACCCCAAAATGACTAGTGTAAAACAATTCAAACAGGAAAACCACCGGTCTAATCTATATAAAAAACGAGAAACGAGAAACACTTATGAACCACACCAACAAACGACAACCACTGAACAACGGGCTCCTGACTTAGGACAGGTGCATAAAAATGCAGCGGGTTTTAACGTTTTCACATGCGCCAACCTTAACCCTAACCCTAGACAGTAGTGTAACATTACAACGTTAAAAGACACACTATAAAATATCAATTGAAATGGCTCAACTCGATCAAAAAGACATTTAAACATGTAGGTTTGAAAATGAGAGAGATAAAACAAGAGTGCACACGCTGAAATATCAAGCCTGCTTTACTGATCATGACTAAATTTATATTAAAAGTCTTAGAGAAAACTGTTATACAAAAAGTATAACATAAAATTAACATTATCAATGATCCATGTAAATATGGTTAAGGTCAGATGAACTCTGCAACAAACACATGTACACCTAGCTATCATTTCATACACCAAATTTATTTGACCCATTGCTTATAGTATCTTAAACCACTAAAACTTTACCTTGTTTACTGATTTATGAAATTAAGTCGAGGTCAAGTGAACCATGTTTGACGAACACTTGGGGGGGTCAACTTATACATGTTAATATTAAAAAAAAAACATCTCTAGAGTTCACTTGTATCGAATCTTATATAAAAATTCTAAATTTTTGAAATTGTGAAGTGTCAAGGGCACTGTTATTTAATAGCTGAATGAAAATTGCCAATGTGACCCTATCAGGGCAAATGTCAATCTCGAATCATATTTGGCAACAGAAATATCAAATTAGTCCTCAATAAAGTAACTATTGTTATAATCCTTTAAATAATTCGAATTTATGTTGCTCATTAAGGCGGTAAGCTGTCTAAATATGAATCTGCGTTTTCCCTGAAATTTTATCTTTGACCTTCGACTCAAATTTAATAACAATATTTCGATGAAGCTTGATCTCCTCTTTCCATTGATATAAAATACAGACCAAAATCGATCAAATTCGTTTACTGTGCACCCTACTGGAAGGGGAAAGGGAATAAGGTAATTAAGTAACTTAATTTCATAAACAACGATTGTATGTGTATAGTTGTACAATAGACGTTAAAGAGCATTGTTGGTGCACAGGTCACGTGTTTCTGACATAACTCAAGTAGACCATGAGAGATAACAATCTGCTCTGTCACCCTCTCAGATTTGTGTATTTCAATTTATTATACTGAATGTTCGGTTATTATTGTCTTTTAGATTTTAATTGAAGCAAAAAATTAAGACGTCTTATATATATATATATATATATATATATATATATATATATATATATATATATAAGTGCCTAAGAATGTAACTTTAACACACTAACGAGTGTTATAAAATTACTTGTTATATTTTATATTATTCACGCAATATTTCGCTAAACAAATTAGCTTCATCAGGCGTGTGCATCTCTCAAGGTGAAATCGGATGCATGACAAAAAAATATTTTTGTAGCTTAAACTACACGAAATTTGAGTAAAAGTTTAACAAAATTTATATATATCAATCATCCGTTCTAAGTAAAGCATCTCCGTGAAGGGTAATAGAATTTAAGTCATGTCATAGAGTAAATTATCACCCTCGTATTTACCAATCAAAATCTGGCATTTTGACATGAAGTATTACATATTTTAATGTTTGTTTTGTAGCGAAATATTACACTGGACTTCAAAAGTGATGCCGCTGATAGCTACATTTAACTTCTTCGATAATACAATGGTAAATATGTCATCGTAAACATCAATACAATAAATAACTTATGTCTACAATAACCAACAAATGTTATAATAAATAACAAAACTACTCATAAATACCATAAGCAATGCCGTACCGTATCATAGCAAACGATATTTTGACGATATGACTTCATACCACCAATAACATGTGGGTACCTATATGGTTTCAGTAACTACGAGCATTATAGCAATATGTCCCGAGTCTAAATAATGCTTGTGAGTCCTATATCAGCAAGCTCGTCATTGGTGTTGATGTCTCTTTATGTTTTGTCCAGGAATGTGAAAATACGTAGCAGCATTATGAGCTATATATTCGTAACAGACCTAAATAGAACAGCAAATTCATCAAAGTTCTGGGTATAAAATACTATATATTATGAAAAAAAACACGTTATAAAAAAACTATAGCATTATTTCCATTAGATTTTGCTTCTGAATAAGGGAAAATATTATCCTTGCAGCTTGTATTCAATGGCATCTTACGCGGAACAGGACATCAGATATATGGAGGCATTGTCACGGTTATAGCACATTATATCATAGGAATGCCGCTACTGGTAGTGTTCGTACTGTATACCACTTTACAGATAACAGGTACAAATATTATTTACTACCACAAACAACTCTAATTATTAGCAGACATCCCTTTAATAGTTTTCTCGCTTGCGAATGTCAAATTTCGATCCGGGGGAAGGCCAAGGAGGGGGCATAGGCATCCCCGCTAAATAAGGAAAATACGGCAGTATGAGCAAATATTTGTCTGCTCAGAATCAGAAACTTTCGTCCACTTAATGACTTTTAAATTGAAATCTGCTGCTTCCCTCCCTAGCTAGCGGGTTTTACAGGTAAGAGGTGAGACTGGAAGTCGAAACAATGAGGCTTTGTACAGTGATGTGTCGGTCCAGTACAAAGCAAGTATTTCAAAATCTCAACACGACGGGTGCCACGTGTGGAGCAGAATCGGCTTACCTTTCCAAAGCACCTGAGATAACCCCCAGTTTTTGGTGAGGTTCGTGTTCTCAGTCTTTAGTTTTCTATGCTGTGTTTTGTGTACTGTTGTTTGTCTGTTTGTCGTTTTCATTTTTAGCCATAGCGTTGTCAGTTTATTATCGACCTATGAATTTGAATGTCCCTTAGGTATCTTTCGCCTCTCTTTTACATATTTAACATATTATTTCATATAAATATTATATTGGCCTCTGGGTATTAACTACAATTCAATCAATCAATTAACAAAGAAAATTAATAAAACAACATGAAAACAATGAATTTCCAATAGATTTCCACTTCATAAATAAAGGGAACAGTAGTATACCGCTGTTCAATAGTCATAAATCGATTAAGCAAAAACAAATCCGGGTTATAAAAAAAAAATAAACAAAACAAGAATGTCTTCTTAACACGTTTAACTAGTTGATAATATTTCTAAACTGTAATTCACAAAGGACATTTTGTTTAATTACTAGTACAATAATTCCAAACTAAAAGACAAATTGAAAGAATTGGTTCTGCGTTGTTTCATAAAAAGAAAGGCCTACGTAGATACAAGTATCTTGTATAAGGTAGGATCAATCGTACTTTAAAAATAAAATCACTCTGATACAAACAAAAATTTTATGATCTGACATTATCAGGATACTTTATTTCTTGAATTGACAACATATTTGTTACGTTTGGAGGACGTGTATTTCAACAAACAATCGGCAGTCCCATGGGAAAAATGCGCCCCTCTTCTTGTTGACTTGTTCCTTCATATATACGAGGCTGACTTTATACATGAGCTTCTTAGGAAGAATGAAAAGAAGCTAGCATTCTTCTTTAACTTCATTTCCGGTTTATAGATGATGTCCTCTCACTAAATAATGCAATGTTTGGTGACTATGTTGAACCCATATATCCCATCGAACTTGGAATAAAAGATACAACAGATGAAGTTAATTCTGTCTCATACTTTTACTTAAATTTAGAAATTGTCAATGAGGGTCAGTTGAGCACAAAACTGTACGACAAATTGAGAAATTTCAATTTCTATTTAGCAATATTTCAGCAGCGCCTGCATATGGAGTATATAACTCCCAATCGGTACGATATTCCAAGACTTGCAATTCTCATCATAATTTCCCTGATAGATGTTTGCTTCTCACAAGGAAACTAGCAACCAAGAGTTCCAAGTGTTGAGATTGAAGTAATCACTTGGAAAATTGTACTGACACCATCACGAGTTGGTTGACCGTTATGGAATATCTGTTTCAAAGATGACGACGGCTATGTTCTAATTTTCGTAACCACAATCCCTTCATCTATTCCCCGAATGTGACCTACCGAATAAGACTTATCATCTGATTTCTACTTAGATGAGCAACACGACGGGTGTCACATGTGGAGCGGGATCTGCTTTCCCTTCCGGAGCACATGAGATCAGACCCGAATTTTATTTGGTTACCTGTAAAATGCTTTCAGAGTCTCGTAGTACAAATATTTTTTTAAATATCGACTATTAAATTTGAAAATGAAGCTGTTTCGAGCGGAGAAAGATCATATCACAATCGATGCAAATTAGAATTTTTATTTAGGTGTATGGTGGGCTTTCTGTATAGTTATTGTAGTCATGTTTATATTGTATGCTGCGAAGACATTATCACTAAGCTGGGAAAATGAATGTAAAAAGGTATGAAATCTTAGTGCTTTAAAAAAAAAATATTTACATGTAACGTCTTCTTTCACAATGATTTGAGCTATACTGAAATAACTGTTTCCGTATTTAATAATGTGTTTTTCTGTAAAGAAATATTAAACCGTCAAACGAAAAAAGGGGAAACTTCTTTACGTTCTTTACAATACTACTTTCATCAAAGAAGCATAACAATTGCAAATAACTTTTATTTATTTCACATATAAATGTGATGTCGATAAGATGATTATTTAAAACTGAGAGGTAAAAACATACAGAGCTAGAACTATTTAATAATAAAAGAAAATGATATTTTTGAAGGCTCAGGAAATAACAGCAGTTAACGTAAAAGACCCTACTTATTATGGAGGTGAGTTCATGAACATATCAGAGTGTTGTTAAAGTTCTCTATCAAGATTTGAGACATTTGTGATTATAATGTTAATAAGAACGATAGTTAGAAACAGTTTTGCAGTTAGGGTAGACATTATTTTTCCTCTTTCATTGAATGTTTAACATTTGTAAAAATCGGGAGAACTTTAATATGCCGTTTTTATGATTTATAACTAAATATAAATTACTAGTTAACATAGATCAAGAAAAATCTTAGTTTATTTAGATCTCTTCCTGTTTCAACGTCGGTTGATTGTCGAAAACATTAATGTTGAATTTTGTTGATTGATATTCATATTGTCATTGTAAAACTCAAAGTTAGGAAAGTCCATTATTATTAGTTCCATATATATTGATCCCTTTCTTTCACTCCAAAATATTCATTGAAGCAAATGCTAACATTTCATGTATCTTAACAACCTCGAAATGAAGTATATGTCAAAGGTCTTCGTCATTACCAGGTCTTTTCTATAACCAAATACAATGGGTTTGACTGAAAGCTTAAATCTATGACAAAACAAGGAGAAAATACTAATGAAACATCAAAAAAAGGGTTGTTACTTCAGTTTTGCTATTATCAAATTGTCATTCTTGATTTGCAAAGTATCTTCTGCATACGTCTGTTCCTTAAAAAGGTTTCTTATTGTAGATTCACAAATGTAATTGTTCGAATTAAAAAACGTACGAAAATCTCAAAGAAGAAGTTAGGAAGTTATCTAAAAATAATTTATATGATGACCTCAACGACTTGATAGATCCATTCAGCGTCTCAATGTCTGAACATAATATAAAAGGATTATTCTCTAACATGTGCATCATATAAGATAATCGTTTAACTGTTTGACAAAATATATTTTAGATGATCACAGCACATCATGTAGTTATACAGAAGCCAAACCAAGTGATAGCGATACTCGTCAGTTGTTTGATCAAAAAATAGGAGAGCAATCATTTCCATTGTATAAAATGATTATATGTCAACGGTTCTTAATATTTGTTTCATTACTACTGATTCTAGTAGCCAGCATTGTTCTAAATATGTTCTTTGATCATACATATAGAAATAACGTAAAATGTAACAGAAATGATACAATGTATAATCTGACTCACTTTGCTAATGTTTCAAGTAAGGGTATTGTTTGCCAACCTTAACCATCATCATGACATATGCATATTTAGACTTGAGTAAAATTGTGAATAATGCATTTGAACATTGTGTGAGGCTATATTGTATGTGATTGTATCTTTTTTTGTTTGGTAATATAAGTTTGCATTGTCTCCTTGTGATATTATTTGCATTGCCTGGCATAAAATATCATCCTACAACCTCATTTTTAACATTTAGTATCTGTACTTCAACACAAAAATATTTACGGTTGTTGGATTATTATCAATTAATGAAGTTTTCTGCGTCTTAGGTATATTCACGAAACTTCTCAACAGTCGTATATGTAAATATTTATCATATTCAGCTGAATTTTACTTCTTATCAGTTCTTGTCAGAGAATACTAACTTTATTCTCTCGGATTATGCAAATACCTCATGTTCGATCAATCTGTTGTATTGACCATTCGCTTGTCTAAGAGTCATGCTTCTAATAACTTGCCAACTCTCTTTTGAATAAAACTAACATTTTACCTCAATTTATTATGTGTTTTTGAACATTTTGAATATTGAAATCAGTCACTAGTACACTATGTATATCACTTTTTAAACGTACACTGCGTTTTTGCAGGTAAAAAGATGTAAAAACTCGTCAAAGTTACCAGGCGTATAATTTTGTACGCGAGGTGTGTCTAAATAAAGGCAACAGAAGAATACCTCTGTTCAATAGTCATCATTCAATTAAGATTCCCCAGTTACGCTCAACAAAAAAAAAGGTGAAAACCAAATCAATAATGAATTTGAAGAGCATTGAAAAAAAAAAAAAAAATCTTAGTATTTTTAGCTTAATGAAAATTTCATATCCTTACAATGACCTTCTAAATGACATTTTATTACAACACATGCAACATACAAACAACAAGAGGTCAACATATGGTGCTAAAAATTAGCCAGTGTCCTTACAATATTTGATTTTAAACATATTTTATTCATTAGGATATGAAAAGAATTGAGCAACAGGCACTGCCTTTAAAGGCTCTGTCGTCAACATTGGTTGTACAATGTATAAATCATATCTTTACAACTGTATTAAAAGTAGTAGAACTTCAGTGGATTGATGCATGATATTTATGAGCACACACTAACAATGGCATATTTACAGTGTTTATTGCAAAAAGTATATTATATTCAAGTGTGAAGGCAATTGATCATCCGTTATTTAAGTACCTTGAGACATGTATATATCAACACTATTTATTAGTCGTTAGTAATATATATGAACAATAAGGTTTTGATGAGTCACTAAGCATACTTCGTGGAATAAATTACAAAATGTTGGATGAAAACGAAAGCTATAAAACACGGATTAAATAGATATTTTTCAAATAAAACCATGAGTGTCACTGATATATTTTTAAACAGATTTAAAAATTGCAATATTTATATCATACGAAAATAATCTGGTTCCAAAAAGTAATACGTCAATATTTATGTCAACATTATTATCAACTATTGAGTGTAAGATCTGTCTTACATCATTGTACGTTTGGCAAAGGCTGGTTCACCTCAATAGGGAAATGACAGTTTTAACAAAAAGTGTCCTCTGATAAAAAGATGATATTTTAGGTTGGTATCATTATTTCTAAGTTGACAATGACTTATATAATATGTCTTATTTCATTATTGAAGGTTTTAAATATTTCATCAGTCCAGTAGAATTTTCTAGTATACTTGTAAATATAAATAAACTTGGAGTTTCTTTTATATTTAAGGAAGAGTATTCCAAAGCCAATAGTGAAATGAATAGAACTATAAAAATAAGAGCGAGTTTCTTAAAATATATCAGTTTTTGACTTATGATAATGAATATCAATTTGGTATCTTTCGCCTCTCTTCTATGACAGTGATTATTGTTTTCTTCAACAATTTCACCATTAATCCCAAAATATACAGGTAGATGCTACCTTTTCCTTCTACTAAAAACAGTATTTTTTGTTTGTAAAGACGTAGGATTATCTGATTGTCAGATGGCCAACATTTAAAGACACAAAAGTTAAAAATAATATTTTACTAAAACTAAACTGAACAAAAATCAAACAAAACTAAATACAATTACAACATGCAAATGCAAACAAATCAATGGACACGAAATGAAAGAATGATTATAAACAATAAGTCAAAATTCAAACATAATACATACAATTAAAATGTTAGTTAGTAAAAATTAAAACAAATCAGCAAAATATGTCTCATCACAGCTACTATCATACACTCTGATCGCGGTCAAGATCTAGGATGTTTCGGTACTTGGAACTTCAAGTACTTTCAGATCGAAATAATCTAAATTTCACTTTACTAAACTTTTCACTGATTCAATATTGACTTATATAACACTATCAGGGGCCTCGGTGGCCGAGTGGTCTAAGTAGTTACTACTGTAATCACTAGCCAGTCAACACTGAGATTGTGAGTTCGAACCCCGCTCGTGCGGGTGCACTCGACTCCAATCTTAATTGACTAGGATTGTCAGTTTTCCTATCGAAGGTCGGTGGTTTTCTCCGGCCACTCCGGCTTCCTCCACCATAAAAAACTGACCGCCAGGAAATAGCCCAAAAGCGGTGCTTAAAAGTGGCGTTAAAACACCAAAAATTAAATCAAATCATATAACACTATCAACTTCAATAAGATATATGGCTCACTATATATTCACTTCATTTAATATTGCGCTAATTTCACAGTTTTCTACTGACATGAGACTTCCGGTTGATATCATCATCACATTTTCAATGACCAATCTTTAAACATATATTTCGAATCATGAATATAAACATCAAAATAAATAATTTCCAGTTTCTCAAATAAAAGGAACTACCAAGCAATTTACACCAACTTCCGGTAAATCAAACACCATCTTCCGGCAAAATTAACACCAACTTCCGTATACGCAAAATACATATTTTCTGCCACATAACATAAACACTGGCCGTTGTATGATACAGTAAGGTAACCCTCGTAACTGGTATTTGGAAAGATCTGTGTCAATAAATGGTACGTACGTTGTCTGACCATTTAAACGCTTCCGCTTCAAAACTGAGCATAACACTGCAAGGAAAACCCCCTGAAACAAATTCAATATATTGTCCTGTGAAACTCCATGTCCTGAGGTATCACCAAATATAAATGAACTTCAGCAGACTAAACGTCTGTTCACATCAAAATCTGCATGTGCTCTGCCTAACCACTTTACCTGTATAAAACCATGTGTTGCCTGTCACGTGATTTACCTGGCGCGTCAATTAATGAGTGGGGTGTCAATCAGGGTGCAATTTATACATAACTTTAGGCTTTATAATCCATGAAAATAAGATAGTATGCTGCATATCATAAATAACCAATTATGAATAATAAGCAATGCAGTTCGGTGTGAGCAAAGGCTCTGTGTTGAAGGCCGTACTTTGACCTATAATTGTTTACTTTTTATACATTGTGACTTGGATGGAGAGTTGTCTCATTGGCACTCATACCACATCTTCTTATTTCTAAGTAATTAATAATAAATAAAAGTCACATAATGAAGTTTGTCACATTTTTAACATTTTTTTAGAGTTAAGCTACGCCCATAATTTTGCCAAGTTTGAGATAACATCTACGTCATCAGTCAAAAACGAAGTTGCTACAGCATGATCATCGTCTGTTATAATAGATGATTAACTATCATCAGCAAAAAGTCATTTTCAGCATCATTTACTATATCATTTATATATATAAGAAACAAAGAAAGGGTCCCAAAACATAGCCGTTGGAAACGTCTGCATGTTTACTTTTAAGAGTTGAAGAAAAACCTGTAATTCAGTAGTTGTCTTTGGTTGCTGTCTGTCATACTTCTTTTTATCTTATGTTTTTGATATATGTCAGGCTGAAGATTTTCTATTTCGATTTGATTTACTTTTTGTCATGCAAGTGCCTTTACTACGAAACAGTATGTTTTACTCATTGCTGAAGGATAAATTTTGGCCCATCGTTGTTTAAATCTCCGTCCTGTTGTTTCTGCTAGAAAGCCGTCTCACAGGCAATCATATCACATCTCTTTTTGTCCTGATCTTTCTAATGACAATGTTTCTGACTAAGAAATTGATGACAGAACGATGTGCACTGTGTCCAGTGTTGTATTCTAAAACAGCTCAGCAACATGTAAAAACAGATTTTTATAATAAGCTATTTGATAGTGAAATAAACGGCTATCCACGGCTGACACTAATCATATCCTTTTGATATTATTCCTTATATGTGGTTTTTCAGAACTCGGTTTTAAATATGTGCACCTGGTGCAGATATTTCGTAATTTTGTATTATACTCTTGATTACAAAACATATTTTATCTACTGCTACTTTTGTTAAATTCCAATAAACGATGGTATACTCATACAGCTGTAACAGTATAAAAGAATGTATTTAAACATTATGCAACCTTTATTCCACTAATGATCACTGATAAATCTACACGCATTTGCTCACGTTGTCGTGCTAAGCTTACTCTTATTAGAACCATCAGAAAACAAAAGTAGGTGTGTGACGATTTGAAAAGCGCTGACAACACGTTACTCGTCAGCACTGTCAATCTTCTGACCTAATATGAAATCATTCTGTTCAGTATCATCAAAAGTATGTGACAAAAATAATTGTTGTACGAACGCAGAGACAATGGGATTACCAAATAGTTCCTAGTCCACTTTTAGAGATGGCGTATAATAAGAATAAATTGATGAATGCCTTTGATAAAAGGTTTTGTTATGAACATCATCAAGAAATAAATTGATCATTGATTATTGACCAATTTAAAAGGGTTATGTACACCGTATACAATTTATAGCCAAAGATTAAGAAACCAACCCATGCATCAACTATTAATTTATATCTTGATTTGTATATTCGAAATTAATGAAGCCGCTGAATTACCATACATGTATATTGTTGAATTCTGGGAGGGTATATACATTGGAGACAAAAACTATTTGATGAAGGTTGTTTGGAAGGACATAATGAAATTATTACTTCACAAATCTATGGTCCTTGTAAAGAATTGGTCTTCTTCTTTCTAGCTGGTATCATTACAGTTTTATTGCGATTCTGAACGTTGTTATCCCCATTTTAGTATGTTTGTACTTGACCATTTGATGTCAGCATGACGTCTGTATAATATCGTCAAAAAGTTTT